AGTTCTTGAGCGCGATGACGATGACGTCCCTGGACTCTCGGCTACACTCTCGCGAACTGCTCCGACATTTTCTTCTGAACGACCGCTGTGAGCTTGTCTCGTATATTTCAAATCATTAACTGAAATAACGCTACTTTTGAGCTTATCACGACCGAATATTAGCTGCACTTTTCGAATCGTGGCTAATAGACATTCACCACTTTGGTAATGATTTTTAACAATGAGGATGCGCTGTTCTTTTGTGTAATGATTCATTATGACTGACAAAATGGCGCGTAATTCGAATATTGTGCTCTTATTGATATACCTTTTATTAGCGTCTATAGGGAAGGTTAAAACTAATAAAATTGCCAAAAAAGATTTTATTTTCTCAAATAATAATCACAGAAAGTATCCGTACACGTACATCATTCTTATGATTCCCTTAAATGATATACAATGTGTTTTAACCGAATATGACCATGTTCAAGGTATGCCCCACTTTAAAGCATAGCTCCAGATTAGTGCAAAAACGTGCAATATTTCATAAGAAAAATGTACTCATTACTCCTCCATGAAAATTTTTACATTGATTATTTTAGTTTGAAATCAACATAATAACAAGGGGCTTTCAAAAAGTGTGGTCTACTTGTTTATTTTTTTGTAATTATTATCGTTAATATAGCCGATAGGATTGAGTTATGTTTGGTTTTTGCAGAGTTTGTTTGTATGTGGACAAGAATAATTCTATTGTACAGTAGAAACGGCTTGATAGATTTTAACACTTGAGGCATAGTTAGATTTATATTAGCAGCACAAGTAACTCTGGGCACATTGCAGTTTTGCAAAATCAAAATGATGGATTTTAATCGAAAATTTCAACTTCGGAATTTCTATCTCACGGGCTACAGCTTAAACGATTTGATTGATTTTAATATATCTCTATATTTGTCTTGACAATGCGGATCTAATAACATGTTATCAAATCAAAACGGCAGATTTTAAACGGAAGCCTCGCCTCAACTTTGAAATTTCTATTTGATGGGCTCAAACGGATCAAAGGATTTTGACATTCAGTGTATATTTTGGTTCGTCTTGGGATTTTTTGTATCACCACCAGACTACCTCAGAAAGAGGGTTATGTTTTCCACGCGTGGGAATTTATATGTGGACAAAAATTTCTATTCCATGACCTATAGTCCAAACGGCTTGATGGATGTTGAGATATTAGGTGGTGTTGGCGGATTTCAACAATTTTAAGCCTAGATTTTCCTTGACAGTGCGGGTGACACTGAGTATACTAAAACTTCATAAAATCAAAATGGCGGATTTTTATCAATCATTTCAACTTTGACATTTCTTTCCACGGAGTGATTTTGACATTTTATGTGACCTAACTGCTGTCGGGCTTCTTGTATAGGGTGATTCAAATTGGGTTTCCACATTAAAAGTATTTAAAAAAGAAGAAATTATTATAAAAAAGTATGTATTTGTCCTTTCAGGGCAGTACATTACAATTATGCTTGAAAGATGATATCAAGTAAATGATCACCGCGGCTCATGTGGCACGACGTAATCCGTTTCGAGATATTTTCGACTACTTCGTGGCACAAAGATGGTCCTATGTTGGTAATATCGCGTCAGATCTCCTGTTCCAGCTCCGCAATTGTGTTGGGGTTATTCTTGTACACTTTGATCTTGAAAAACCCCAAAGAAAATAATCTAAGGGAGTTAAATCACAGGATCGCGGCGGCCAATTGATATCGCCGTTACGTGAAATAACGCGACCTGGAAACTTGCCGCGCAGTAATTGTATCGTTTATCCTTGGCTTCAATTCCTGTGTTATTTGGACTCTGTATGGGTGTAACTTCAAATCTTTTGTTAAAATCCGCTGTATAGTGGAATAAGTAAGGTCCAGTTGCTGCGATCGATGACGAATCGAGGTTCTTGGATTTTCGGCCACACTTTCGACAACAATAGCAATATTGTGTTCCGACCGACTTCTACGAGCACGCCTAGGGGTTTTGGTGTTAGCAACTGATTCAGTTTGCTCGAATTTTTGCTCCAAATTCCAAAATGTCCTCTCACAAGGCCGATTTTGTGCGCCAAAAAATTCACGTGAAGCACGAAATGTATTCTTCCTTGATCGGCCGTCTGCATTATAGGCTTGGATAATTTTAACACGTTGTTCAGTCGCATATTGCTTCATGACTGTTTGACTGTTTTGTTTATATTTTGACGTTAGAAATGGCACGTTGTCGTTGACAAATTCAGTGGCGTTTCAAAAAAAAATTATTTGTAATGTGGAAACTCAATTTGATTCGCCCCTTAAATTTTTAAAAACGTACTTGTTATATGAGAGCTGTCTTGAAACTAGGCCGTATTCGATTTCTGGCACTATACGTATACAGCGTGTCCCTATTGTAACCTATCACTGTAAGCAGAACACGGGTCCCATGGACTGCCGAGACAAGACATGGTAAATACTGAAGATTGAAATGAACGGGGTATTTCATCCTTTTCATACTTGATGATTTCAAGAACACGCTGTATTCCAGTATTCCAATATACATTAAATAGCATGACGAATATATACGGTATATCACAACCATGAACATTTTTAATGTTTCAACATCATTCTAAATAGAATAAAATCAGTTCAACCCATCTTACTTAAATTAGAGTGATACCCAATATCGGAATATCAGACGCAAATAAGACTATTTTACTACACTATTGAAATTTGAAACACTTAAAGTAGACATCGCAGAAAGAAAGTTAAAAGTTGCAGTTAATGACAAAACTCGGTGACTGGTACTTTTTTTTGGTGTATACTTAATATCATATTCTTTTTCACGAAAAACCAACAAATGAGAGCTGGCTATGACGACTATTAAAAAATCATAATAACTTTTTTGATAATTCTATTCAGGTTTTGATGCTTTTCGAGTTAATTCAGCTAAATTCAACGAGTTCGAATCAGATAGAAGGAGACAATGTTTTCCGCCCAAACTACGTAGATTAGTGCACACTTTTGGATAGATTTGACTACCAACACCCACCAATACATCGGCATATGCATTCTTTTCTTTGGAAAGGATATCCTAATAGCCAAATTTACTGGGCGAGGCGGAAATCCTATCTGCGTTGCGATGAGAATCACCCAGTTATTGTTAACAAAGGAATACATTGAATATGGGGAAGAAACGCAAGCTTATGAGCAATTCCAGCTTAATTCGTGATGTTGGAAGGTTAAATAGCTATGTTTTGTATGATCTGACCAGATTCTTGGTTAAAAGCAAATCTCTTGTTGAACTTAATATGATGTTACATCGTTGTGACTATATTGATCTAATAAAAGAATTAAAGCGATTTACTTAATTTGATACAATAGATTTTTGGGGCGTGCTGAAGTTAAAGCCTCGTGCTGTTAAAATGATTGAACTTGAAGGTCAGGATCCTTCATAAGAGCTCTTAGATTTAAAATAAAGGCATATAAGTCTCAAAGTTGATCATTTTTGGTATTCATTTTAAATTCTGGGTTATCTCAAATCATTTTTCAATGTTGTGTTAGCTATGAAACTTAGATATTACCCAAAAAATAGCTGGGTACCGGTAAACTTGGGAGCCCCAGAAAAATGGTGTTGCTCGTATTTTTTTTACAAATGTAAAAATGTCTATTATGTAATTTAAAACACATATTGTTCGCGCAGAAGCATTTTTTCGAAAAAATAAAAATTTCATAATGGTACCCATAGCCACAGATCATTTATTTAACACTGGTATGAACACGGAACAGAAACTTGTCGAAACTACATCACAGAACCGACGCATATAAGCGTCTGTAAGCATCTTTGACATTCTTCACCAGAGCGGTGTTGCCACACATTGCCATTTTCCTGCCATGCTACGACGGTACCATTTTAAACATTATTGGTTACATTAGGTATTGGCATGATACGAACCAAAGCCTATACCAAAACCTAAATCCTAAATCAGAACCTAAACCAAGGCCACAAACAAAGTCTACACCTAATCTTAAATCAAAACCCAAACCAATGCCTAAACCGCTTCGATTTTCAATCAGGCAACAGCGCCGAACATCATCATTTCTCTGGGGCTCTTAGGTTTACCGTTACCCCGCACGTAAAAAGTAAAAAAATCTGCTTTTATACTGAAACTGATTTCGGTCCCCCATCCTAACCGTGTCGAACTTCGTACACCTAGAGCTGACCGATACGACCGCTCCTTTGTCCATAGGGTGTCTATATTGTAGAACAATATACAAGAGGAGGCTTTTCCCAGCTCTACTAACGTAAGGCAGTTCAAAAATCGGATTAACAAAGTTTCTTTGGGATTCTCATAGCAACCACGGTGTCCTGGCATTTAGGTTTCTGTCTACGTGGCTACTTCCTTTGATCCAGAAATAACATTCCAAAAGATCGCAAGCCACATTGGAAGGTGCGAGTCGAAACCCGGCAACACCTGTACGCTCTACTGTTCCCCCACTCTGCATTCCCCCCAGCTGCGTTCAGGGTTTCCGTATTGGGGTACTGGGATTTTTAGCTGCCTTGGAGAATTTTTGGGGGGATAATGTTCTGAGGAATTTTTTGGGGTATAATTAAAAAAAACATCCATAGTCACAGAACACTGAGATGCGCCTTCTCTGGAATGTTGGTGGTATCGTAGATTCACGGGTCTGCGATTCCACAATCTCCAAATGGCAAACGTGCGTATCGTTTTGTGTTAATTCCCAACCGCGGTGCAAAAAACATATTCCGTTTTTACGATGTTATATATCACACGTTCCGTTCCGCGCCCATTAATGTAGTGTGATTTGGGGAATTTTTCTTAAAATTGTGATTCTGTGGGATTTTTCTTCTTAGTCTGAGGGAATTATGTCTCACTCATCTGGCACCACTGAGCTGCGCCTCTCATTCTTGGCTCAGCAGCCGTTCGATATAGAGGTTCCCATTTTTGATCTCGCCAGGTGCAAGATTCGTTCCATAATTCAATTGCTGCATGGCAAAGGAACTCCACCAGTGGATATTCATCACCAAATGACAGGAGATGGCAACAAGTGTTCAACATGTCCAAAAACTTAGTGCCATTCAGAAGGAAGTTCACGATGAAGAGCAGATTAGACGACATCCTGTCTCGGTGCTGGTTATCGAGATGGTCTAACGCGAAGTGGAATAGGAGGATCACTGTCTGTGGATTCCCAGGAACTGAGCAATACGTTCACGGTCGGTGATCCTCCTGTTTTTGAAGCACTCGATAACCAACCTCCAGACTGACTCCACTCCGTTCGTCATCGTGGACTTCCGCCCGGCACTAGGCTCCCTGCCATACTTCTGGAAACTGACTACGATGGGTGGATGTCTCTGTGGCCTGTAAAAAGCGAGTTATGGAACGAATCTCTCTCTTGGCGGTATCAAAAATGTAAAGCTCCATATTGGATGGCTGCTGAGCCAAGAATTGGCGGCGCAGGGAGGCGTGGCCGGGGAGAATCGACAGTGGGGAAATAGCCGCGGGCAGCGGTGTTGCCGGATTTTCCGTTGCACCTTCCGGTGTGGCTGGAGCTTTCTGTGAATCCTTTTTAGATCAACACTCGTAGTATTTACCTGGCTACTGATTATGATTGCATGGACCGCGTGCTTTCTCCTTCTATCTAGTCCAAATGCCTTGATTGAACCACACTACAGAACTATTGATAGAAAAGTTGAAACTGGTTTTCTTCGGAAGTATGCCACTGTCATTTTGCGAAAATTCATCGTGAGAAATGTTATACAGTATACATATACAGATGGATGTAAATGGTTATAGTAGAAAAATGTGCCTTAATATAAATAAAACAAAAATCGTACCTCCAAATATCGGTGAAGGGTTTTTCGTATTTATGCAGTACCTGAAAACCCTCCAGTCCTAATATGTACGTACAAACGTTTGTGACGTGCTATGTGTATATCGAAAAGGTTCTTGATGATTTTGTCTCTTTGCAGAAGAACTAGTTATAGTCAAGTTCAAAAATGAAAATGATAGCATCTGCACCTAAACCAGTGGCGCAGAATACGTCATGTTACTATCGTCCAATTTGGACTTAGGCTAACTAACTCCAAAAATTGTTTGCAAAGAGGCGAATCAATGGGTATGTATTTGTGTTCGACTATGGGATGATTCACAACTATCCTACGAGTCTATTCACTCAGATTAGCGGAAAGGTTCTGATAAGCACATATTCGAGAGCATATCTAAATATTAATAACATTATAAAAGAACGTTTTTTGGTACGTCCAATTCAACATAGAAAGAACTATATAAAGCCCTAAAATAATGAGGAACCTACGAAATATCAGTCAATAAAGGCTGTATTTTAGCCTTTTAAAGTTCGTTTTTGCATATCACTCAATCACGAAGGCATATTTTGTTGGAAACGTATCAGTAAGACATTCTCAAATAGACTTCAGAGAACATCCAGAAAAATCAAACCTACTCTTTATCTATTTGGTAGGATATTAAGGCAAACAGTTGAAAATACTTTGGGTCTGTTGTTGATTAAGATAGCTCTATCTATTTGGAAAAGTTGATGAAACCGTGAAAATTACTCTTAGCTTTTCTCGAATTTAAAACGTCTTCTTTCAGAGAAAAAATCTAGTCACGCATTAAATGCAAAATTTAAGTTCACATTTATAACAAAATTTAGTACACAAATTTGACGTTAGAAAAATCAAGACTCCTCCTTTTTGAACTATAAAATTTGTGTTCATCATATTTATACAGCCAAGATGGGTACTTAAAAACTATATTTTCCGATTATGTCGATGGGAACATTTTCGCTAACCTGACAATATAACACAACTTGATCACACAATAGCAAACACCCTGTATGTATACAAAGGAAATACTTTTTTTTATAAAACTGAGCTAACGTCTTCCTTTTTCTCGTCCTTGTCTTTTTTCTTTGACTTTTTCCTCCGTTTTGAGTCCCTAGTTTTTGGTGATCGTTCTAAGAGGAATAGAGCTTCATGAAAATCGTCTGAACTGAGATTTGACTCTTGAACATGTAGTACGGAGCTCAAAGCTCCATCTGTTGATGACTTTGGAAACCTAAAAAATCACGGAATAATGAAAATTATCAAAATAACCTAAGCCCAAAATACACTTCAAGATCTTCTAGGGACATGTTCAAACTTTAATTAGCTCACTTGGTATTCACAAAGAATAATTTTCAATCAAATTTTTGAGCGGTGAAGGTTGACATTTGTATAAGGCTTCAAATCGTTTCATCTCGAAAATTGATAATTTTATAGAAGTGTTCAGAATGATCCTGTCTCAGAAGGAGGGTTCTGATTTTCGCGCGTGGATATGTGTGTACGTAGACATACGATTCTATTTTATCAGGTATTGTTAGATTCGACTAGTGACACTGGGTACATTAAAATTTCATAAAAACAAAATGACGCATCTCAATCTAGAATTTCAACTTTTTATTTCATGGCCTACAGCTTAAATGGCCAGATGGATTTGGCATTAGAGATATCTCTACATTTGTCTTAAAATTAAAAGAATGGATTTCACTTCCTACTTTTAATGGCGAGAAAGTATTGTAATTGCGACAAATTTGGAAAATAAGATATATGTATATGTTTTTTGGAAGTTATGCGACATGACATCACAAAAAACCATGTCACTCATTTCCGTCGTCTGTCTGTCTGTCGTTATGTCTGCCTGCTAATCCTTGGGCATACTATGACTTGAAAAGTATGTTCGGATTTAGTTTTTGAAAATCAGTCCAGTGGCGGCGGTAAAAAACGCCAAAACTAAAAAAAATTAAAATTGCTCAAACTTTGCTCTTGTTGTTCTTTGACGTTTTAGATGGTCCTGATCATTTTTGACAAATATTTTTGGGGTAGAAAATTGGGAAGTGGGGGATTGTAGGAAGATGCACCGCAATTTTTTGATGTTAGTAGTACATTTCCAGCTTAGGTAATTCTACGCACCTATTAGGCATGTTTTACATATCATAGATTTCCCGGTATATTTTCCCTTAAAACTTATTTAATATTTTCGGTAAGGGATCTGCGCGATATTATCTATATATACGAGCATTATGCTTGGAGTGTTATTTAATGATGTAACTTGATTCGTGAGATAATATTATACTATATACTTTGTATGGTATATATGTTCTTATCAAGTGCTATTATAATCAGCCATCAAATACTGTTAACAAACAGTTTTATACCAAAGCTCAAAAGAAATGAGTCTCAAATAGTGCGCCAATGGTTCTGACAAACGTACGACTTATTGATGCCATTGCACTAGATAAAAGATTTTACTGGACGTTGTTTCGAAGGCGTGTGAAGTACAGTGTCAATCAACTTGACGTCATTTTTTAACGCAAATTTCAGTTTTGAACCGTCTATTTCACGAGTTACACCTCACGCGGCTTAATGGATTTTAATTATAATCTACTATCTTAAATTGTATACAATTAAAATGGAATTTTTAAAAAATTTGGTTTTTACTGGCTACTTGTAATTTTTAAACATGTATTTGCATGTAATTTGTTCCAAATATGTTTAAACAAATGTGTACCCGGTAACCGACAGCAACTCCTTGATTTGTGTTAAGTGACATCCAATAAACGGGATTATGGAAAATGGCGTCAAGTAGGTTGACTCTGCACTTCCCACGCAACGGCGTTATCAGTTCATAAAGGATTATGTTTAGCAGAAACTAGACACTCTGAGCAAAAAGTCCGTCAAACAGTCCATAGACATTCTTTCCTTGCCCCACCGGTAGTGAATCTGGAAACGTCACCTCTCTCTGATACATAACTCGCTCAGACATGGCAGCGTGGTCAGAGCATATTAAACACTATGCAATGGCGCGGCACAAATACGTGCAATACCGTACCAGAACAACAGAACTCTCACGCGATCCGTCTGCTGAAAATATTTTTTCAAGTTTCAAGGACGGAGAAATCTACGATGTGTATAATATGTCTAATAACCAAGGGTCAGAGCGCATAAATATACTAACATAAAGAAATTAAGATAAACCCTCCCCACCTCCCAACAACCCCCTCCCTCAAACTTTTTTACTTATAAATTTTTTTATAAAAATGATTAACGTCAAAAAACGAAGTTTGATCTATTTTTACTCTTTTCCGTTTCTGCCCTTTAATCTCTGTCGCCACTGGACTGATTTTCGAAAACCTCAAAGTTGTTGCGTCAGCGGCATAGCAGTAATGTAATGTGTAAATATTTCATCGAAATTCGAGCGGTACTTCTCAAGTTATAGGCGGTTATAAGATTAGCGGACAGGCCGACAGAAGGATCGACAGACCATATTTTTTCGTGACTTACACGTCATATAACATCCAAAAAACATATATATCATTTTCGCAAATTTTGGCTATTACAATAATTCTTCCGGCCAGTAGGCGTGGGAAGTGAAAAACATCGAATTGGAAAACTTCTTCTTCGGCTGTCATGGCAACTGACTGTATAAAATGTAAACTCTTAAGGTCATAAAAATGCAACAATTCAACATAGCTTGGGGGAAGTTGCTTAGCTAGATATTGCTAGGCAATTCAGTCTTACCTAAACATTTCTCGTTCTCTTTCCGGTTCACTGGCACTTTTACTCTTGCTGTCTTTGTTCTCTTGGACCGTGGGACTAATAGGAGGAGTTCTAAGGTCACCTGCAAAAACACCAGACATTTAATAAAGGTAGAATAAGGCAATAGATCTTAACTCTTAAAATACCAAAATGGAATCATAAGAGGCGTTCGATTTCGGCAGGAGTGCCATGTTCGATCGTGATATATGGAGCCTTTGTTATTACCAAGGCTTTTCGTAAAAGAAATATAAACCGTTTATGCTCAGAATGGTGTCGGTAGATGGTGGTGGTTGGTGTCCCCGCCAGTTGATATACTGGCGGAAGAGTAGGCAGTGAAGCTAAAGACGATGGATAAAGGCGCAGTTTCTCAAGGGGTAGCAGCGGTGAGATATTATGATCTGGATTGTCAAGGAAGCGGTGAGTATACAGGGTGTTCCGTACTTAAATGGACATAGTGAAATAGTAGATTGTATGCATCGAGACATTTCCATATCTGAAAATGAAAAAGTCTTAAATCAATTTATAAGGATACGCAGGGTGTTTTATCTAAACTCTTCAAATCTTTGATATCACATATTTCAGGCAGTATGAAACCGATTTTGTTAAATTATATGGACGCATTCGATTTTTTCACTTTTTTATTTTGAAAATTGAAACATTAAGCTGAACATTGAAATGTTTGTCTATGTACAATTAGTTAGCAAAATATATTGACTGGGCCTCTTCCGGTTTTTTGTCTTTTTTGTTAATTCAAATATGTTATATTTATAGCAGTTTATGACATAAAACTCAAAATTTTAAGGGTTCTAATTTGTTTTTATCAATTTTTTACATAATACTGCTCAAAATTGAACTAAATGTGTTTTGGGAACTCAAAGCTCCAGGATCGGGTTCATTTTATTTCCTTGTATACTAAGTGACATATAAATCCGAACACCCAGTTTTGTTGTGTGTCATTTGCTAGTACGCTGTTTGGCATTAAAAATTGTAAGCTTGTGAAGTACTCCCAAGTGCTGAAATAATTTTCATCTGTGCCTTGGCCACTCTTCTTTTTTTTTGTTTTCTCAGTTCGTTATTAAACTGCGTTCGTAAATTGTGCAGTTTCCTATTTATTTCCGATGCAGAAGTATACTAAGTGACATATAAATCCGAACACCCAGTTTAAACGGTTTTATTTTAATAAAATTTTGTATAAGTACTTAATGAAGCATAATAAGTAAATGATAAAAATTTCAAAATGATTGCACTGCTTTAAAGCCCTTTGACCTTTAATAATGTGTGGATGCAACCTGATGTGCTACGCATTCTCCAACGCGCCTAGGCATGCTTCTGATCAGGTGGTCAATGTCCTCCTGTGGTATCTCATTCCAGGCAACCACCAACTCCTCTCGAAGTGCTTCTAGAGTCTGAGGAGGACGTTGCAAATTGAGCAATCTCCTACCCATCATATCCCACACGTGCTCAATTGGGGATAAGTCGGGAGATCTTGGTGGCCATGGTAACAATGTGACAACATTATGTTGAAAGAAGTCTATTGTGACTCTTGCAACATGTGGTCGGGCATTACTTGTTGGAAAGTTGGATCTGCCAGGGTGTCAAGATAGGGTAACAGATGGGGTTCTAGAACTTCGTGGATATAACGCTGCGCGTACATGTTACCTCTGATGAAGATTAAAGGTGACCTGGAATCATAAGCTATAGCATCCCAAACCATAACTCCAACAGTGTGATGAACATGTCTTTCAACAAAAAACTGTGGATTCCTCCTTTCACCACGTCGCCTTCTAACGACCATCGTGCATGCCTAAACAAAATCGAGACTTGTCACTAAAGACAATACTGTTCCATTCCTGATCCCAGAGTGACCGTTGTCTGCACCACTCAAGGCGATTACGTCGGTGTTCTCGAGATAAAGGGTGGACCTAGTGTAGCCGGTATGAAAACCAGCCAAAACTTCTCATTCGTCGGTAAACACTTCGCATGCCAATAGGTCTTCCGTGTTCTGCAAACCATTCATTTGCAGTGGACCTGGTAGTGGAGAAACGGTCCCTTAAGGCCCATAATCTTAGGCGGCGATCTTCACGGTCTCTTGTTCTACGGCGGCGTCCAGTGCCCCTTGCTCTTTGCGTACGGCCTTCTCGAAGCCATGCCTGACAACACCTAACCACAGTGTCTACACTTCTTTGCACTCTAACTGCAATTGCCCGAAAAGAAAGTCCAGCTTCCCGAAGTCCCACTATACGGCCCCTATCAAACTCACTAAGTTGACGAAATCGTACAGGTCTCCGTACTCTAGGCATCGTAACCGATCGTAAAGGACGTCAAGAACCAAAATCCGCCAACGTTGATTCTTTACTGCGGCTGAAATATTCATTTTTAGAGCGTTAGTGAATTAAAAAAAAGCAGTATAAAAACCGGAATGTCCAACTGATAAGGCTGAAAATTTTTTCACTTGTTATTTACAGTAAGATAAATACATTCACCAACTTTTATTAAAACAAAACCATTTAAACTGGGTGTTCGGATTTATATGTCACTTAGTATATTTTATCAAGTGCAACGAAGTGCAATTTATACTCCAAATTAATTACTATTTGGTGGAAAAAAGAGCAATGCATGATATAACTAGAAGGGAAAATAAATGTTAAGAGCTTTATTTACATTGTTCTGTAATGCTTTAATTTTACCATCTAGTATTGTACATGAGTTCTGCTTAACAGGGAAACAGCAATAGTTAGCAATTCCACTAAATATGACGGTTCAGATCAACTGGAAATTGAGTTAAACATCCATAAAAGCGAGCTCAGACCTGTATAATAGGTTTACCTATATTTTTGTCATTTGATCTGGAGAGGCAAATTTGGTGCATTAGCATACTAAATGACATTCCCCTTTAAAACGGGGCTCATGTTGTATAACATTAAAACATAACAATACTGATTTTCTCTTTCATTTATATCATGTATTGCTCTTGTTTTGTGAAATAATAATAAATTCAGAGCATCACTTACAGGGCGTTGCACTTAATAAAGTATAAATAAATAAAAAAAATTAATTTGACCCTGAAATTTTGAGTTCCAAAAACATCTTTAGCTAAATTTTAAGCAATATTTTGTAAAATGTTGATTAAACCAAGTGTTGAAATTTTGAGTTTGTGTCTCAGAAACTGCTAAAAATAAGCTATCTGCATAAATATTTTTCTTACTGAAAAGTCAATTTTGCCAATTAATAAGCACCATTCTTTGGATCTTTTATACATAGTCAATGATTTCGATATTATTCCTTAATGATTTTAATAAGAAACAAAAAAGTGAAAAATCGAATCCGGTACTGGATTTTTCAACTGATTGTCTATCCTAATATCTCTACTCCTACATCACCTTGTCATCGACCAAAATTTCAACATAATCAGATCAATAATGCCTGAGATATGTGATTTTAGACAAATCCGTAGAATCTGAAATAACAACTTTATTATTTTGAGATACGAAAAGGCCTCGATCGATACTACTTAGCATTCCATTAAGTCCACTTAAGTCTGGAATGCCTTGTATATTACTATACAATTTCTCACAGAGCATGGATCGCAGAACTCACCGTAATCAAAGACACACCGCTATAACAGTGGCGTACGATGGTTACTCTACTCTCTTTCACTTTGGAACTCGACTATAATCAAGCTGAATTTTAATATTCAAAATCATTGTAAGTTTAAGAATAAAAACGATGTAGGTATAGGAGATCTAACCGAATCTCACCTTTGGACGTTGCTGGCATCAAAGATGGTGACATTGGTTCCGGAGGAAGCCCAGCCGTATTGAGGCTTGTATTGGACGTATTTCCAGTTATTGCTGACAGTTGAGATGTTGGTACTGTGAGACTGGATGATCTAGATGTTCTGAAAAGTAGGGGGAATATAAATAGAAATACTCTGTCAGGCTGATACTCACTACTACGTACAAATACGACACGGCTCACCATGACGCAATGTATCAATGAGACATAAAAGTGCTGTTCTGAAAATTAGAATCTTACTTTTTAGGAACAACACTGCAAAAATGCGTGTAAAATCACATTGTATTTCATGTAGATATTTCCTCAATGTACCATGTATTTTTTGTTTTTACAATACCAATAGCGTAAATTATTATTAATAATGTGATAATACAGTTATGTACTCGTATATTAACTACGCAAAAGATTATTTCTACATGAAAACTCTTGTAATACAGAAAAAGTTACACCGTAAATGGTGAAATCACATAAATAAATGTGAATTTACCAAATTTTTATTTTTTGTGTAAAATCCCAGGACATAATATGGAAGGAAGTGCGAGATAACCGTTGTAACCTGAACTTTCACGACAAGGCCCGTTGTGGCTTATGTCGCCAAAACTGCATATTTCTAGAATAGTGTTACAACATCCAACAAGTAGGTGGTACTGTGAATGTTTGGTTTATTTTATGCAGTTTTATCCGCTCCATTTTATTGTATGAATAGTATAAATTTTCAGTGAAGTACGTTTACAGCCTTTGCGTCAAAATAGCGAAATAAGTCTCATTCAAAAATATGTTGACTCCTTTCCTCATTTTGCAATATTCGGGACTGTCTGGGTCTTCTACCGTGACGATTTTGATATTTCAGCAAACGGCTTTTGTACGAAATGAGCCATTCTATGCGGTTCGGGATGGAAACCTCTAGGGAAATGATCTTTACAGTACAGTTGCGGAGCGTCAGCAGTATCTTGGAGACACTCACCGTGAGCTAACATCAAATCGACAAGTTTGTTAATGCAACGGAAGAGTAGCATTTTTGATTTTCCAAATCCGATTTGTAAACAAACAGCTCGGTTGATCTACATGGTGTGCATTTTTTGAGTAATATCTTTTCTCTTAATCTCATCTCTAGCAAGCACGGAAGTGATTACAGACCCTCGGCAACAGAAAGCGGCATCTGGATTTGATCTGTCGTCTGTCCTCCGTAGCAGTTTAACTAAGTGTTTCACTGCTACAAAAATGAGCTGAACACAAGTAAACATGAAGGCGCACGTACAATTTGAGGAAACATCTATGGTCCTCTCAGGAAATATCTGTTATAATTTTCGCAAACACGAGCATCCACGCTTAGTCACCAAATATGACTGTGACCAGCCTGGCATAGCACTTCATACAGTGCCAACTTTAGGGTTTTACGTGCCCTGACGAAAATGATAAAATATGCGCCCTCGCTCCACTTTAATTGAAAATTTTACGCAACCCATGACACTGCGCCCTGAGGCGGCTGCCTTATTTGCCTGTAGCCGGTCCTGGCTTTATACTTGACAATCTACTGCACCTCGAAAATGAATGTAGCGTAGAAAAAATTCTCAGTCTTATAAGAACAATACGCTGCGTACAAGAAAGCCCGAACTTTACAAACACATTGTATACATATTGTTTTACCTTCCACTTTGGACTAAGCTCATCCCTGGTGATTTTGGTTCTGGTGTCCTGGATATCGATACTCCAGATATGAACAAAGTCGGGCTCTTTGGTATACCAGTCTCGCTCTCGTATTCGTTCGAACTATCGGTCTCCAATGGAGGAGGTCTGTTTTGTTCCAATTTTGTGCTTGGTCCTTGAATGTCTGAGTTTGGGCATATTCTTATGCGTAAATTACTTGAAAGTCCTGAAAAATAAAAAGTGGTTAGAGGTCGAAGTCTGGAAAATTCCACCACATTTGGTCATTTTTGCCAATACGGCACCCGTGTAGTCACTAGCCCATGCCAAGCGTGCTAGCTGTGAACGCCACCTATGGAAGAATAGCAAAATAACCTATAGTATAGAACTTACAACTAGTGATGGGCAATAACGCATTTACATTGATTGTCTAAGTTTCAAATATGCGTAAACAATGAAAACAATTAGAATAAAATGTATACAACGATGAAGAAAATGTATAGAATAGCAATAAGTGAGATTGGGCTTACTCAAAAAATCGGCAATTATAAAAACTAATTTTGTTCGAAGAAGGAAGAAAATATCTCGTCGAGTACTGTGTCTGAAAAAGGTATTATCTAATTCAGTTAAATGTGACTTAAAATTGCACATCGACGCGCTATTTTATCAATTCTTACTTGCCTAATTTAAATCAAATCAGCAGGTATAGAAAGAACAAGTAGTAAGAAAGCATGGTCTTTACTATTGACTGACAATGACTGCCAATTTGAATATTGACTTGACGATGCTGACCACGCATAATCAAGTCATTCAAAGGGTTGAATTTTATTTTCAGAATCATTATATTTTCATTATATTTTAGAAATAATCCCAATTAATTTAAAAATATAAGTTTGTATATATGAATAATAGATTTCTATATTTCTATATATATTTCTAACGTATAGACAACACTCACAGCGACTACAAGTGAGTGACAGCTAGCTCCAAAGTGACAATTATTTTGCAGTTTTGTTGTTTTGTATTCCTGACCGTGACCGATGAAACCAATTCAAGCTATAAACACCTGGGATTCAGCTGAGTTAAAACATTTATTATAAATACAACGTTTCGACTATTTTAAACGATCATCTAGAATTAAGAAACAGTTTCAGAAATTACAACACCCAACACGTTAAAATTTTCCAAAAAGTATAAAATAAATATTCTTAGACTTACTAGTTGGTAGAAAATAATCACATTTCTGCCAGATATACCTGTATGTTGGTAGTTTGACTTTAAGTTAACGACTTTCGATACATATTTGATAATCAAAATGAAAACATAATAAAGGCAAAAAATGTATACAAACATTTTGGGCTAATTTTAACCCCTGAATATTTTCAAAAAACAAAAAGCAATGCCTCTTGTGATTTTTCGTTGCGATTAATTTGAGGTCTAGCATCCTATTTTAGGTTTACTCTAAAGATAGGAATTTAATGCGTAAAAACAAGCTAATAAATGCTCCTTTGGGGTTAATCTTCTAGTAGGCTGTGTGAATTCCAACTAATGTAATCCAATGTAAGAGCTTATGGTCCCTGACAAAAAAAGTTCTGAATATTTCCTATAAAAGGAAGTACTAATTCAAACTTACCTTTATAAGCTTTTCTTTGCTCTTCCAACAAAAATCCTGTGCTTTTTGAAAAGTTGTTTCTTTTTGTTTCCCTATCATTTTTCCTAGGGCTTTGCTTTTCACTTTTACATTCACTATCTACAATATATGGCTTCATATCCCTGATAGAGTCTTCAGGTTCTGATTTGCTCATAGAACTTCGCCCTGCAATATTTAACATATTGTTTACTCTCGTATAGAAAAATGCTTTTCAATAATAGTTTTGATATACCATACAGCCCATGCAGACCTCATTTACTTCACGTCAAAGCAAACATCAACACGCGATCACCGATTGTACCTGCTTGTCGCTGCCTGTGCACGCATTTATGACCGGCTGGGCAATGAGCGAGCGAATTTGAAGGCCGCGCGCTGATGTTTGTTTTGACATTAAATGTGTTACCATATTTCCAATATAACGGATCATTCTACTAAAAAAATAATAATTTCATTAACATTACTAACTCCATTTGAATGTGTTTGTAACTTACTTAGGGTGTCGCAGTACTTTCTGTCAAGACCCTCCTTGGATTTATCACCAATGAGTCCTATACTCTTGTTGACAGCTACTTTACTAAAACAATTTGTTTTCGACATTTGTGCACTACAGAGTTTGGCCTTAAGGTTTGTGAATGGATTGGTGCTACTATTATGAGTTATGATTCTTTTCTGTGCGTTGTCCATGGATTTGATACATGTAGATGATGGTTCAGTCTTTTTGTTTGTTGCTTCTTCTTCGTAAGTTTTGCTACCTGAAAAAGTATAGATCTAGTGTAAGTATTAATTCGTAGATATAAGATTAGAAACAATTAGAAATAAGATAAAAAAGTTCCTATAAAAAATAGATACCCCGGAATGACGCTACTAAAAACAGTTAAGGTAGAGCTGGCAGTACATATGATGCTAGGAACAGTTTGAATTCCACGGCAACTTTTTTTGTTGAGACTAAACGAAATCGTTTAACCTCCCGCATATGAGCCTAAAAGCTAACCTATGGGATAAATTAGAGATTTTACAAATGATTTGTGCTTTCATAAAGTTGTAGCTCTTTGACGGAATTTTTGTTTACCTATGCGTCGGGGTACTTCGTCAGTGCATCCAGGAAATTTGTAATCACACTCGATATACATATATACTGTTCAAAGGCCTTTATCTGATCTTGTAACAGATGCTAGTTAGTGATTTCCTCGCTTAACAATATATAATTTTAAAATCTTACCAATGACATGCAACCTTATATGACATCTTCTATTAAACATTATTTTTTATGGGTTCTTATGCATCAGAGAGATAGCTAGCGTATAATGGAAAATTTCCAGAGGGTGACATTCTTTAATAGTCTGAGGCGCTGTTTTCAGGACTTTTTTCACAAGAGCCTTTGTCTCATTATTTTTGTTGGCCAGTTTTACCTGTATTTCTAGGATACCTATACAATTTTTTCAGCTTCAACTTACCTAAATCCTCATCAGTCACCGAGTTAAGTATCCCACACACTTCCATATCGGCGTTCATGGAATCAGACGTTGTCGTGTCTTCTACAGAACTCTGCCCTTGATATGATTCCTCTTCAGGATATGAGGTATGTAGAAGCAGAAGTTGTTTTGTGCGAGCTGAGGTTGATGGCAGCGATAGTAGTTTTCTCACCTAAATTTGAGCAACGTTTATAAAAATAGTTGATCTGGAGTCATCAGCGGTTTCAGACTAAATAGAAGGATTTGCTTGTCTCCTTATTCGCATAGTCTGTAGTGAAGACCAACATGCACTTGACATAAGTCAATTATTTGAAAGTTCTGTCATTAAGCTCGTAGTTTTAGTGTTATTTTAAAAAGTGCGAGTGTCTGCAGATAATTGTGGTGTTAAACGATTTCAAGTCGTGCTACTTCTTTCATAATTTGTTAAAAGCAGAATCAAGGTGAATGTTTTCAGCGGTAGTGTTATAGTCGATAAATTCGAAGAGGCTTCTCAATTACTGAAACAACTGTTAATGGGCGCTGTACTCAAATAAAAATGCGAAAAGCTGTCATCTTCGAGTTCGACCATGAATATATTAGTCAATAAGGGCATATTGTTCATTTTTGGAATCAGAATTGAGAACTCCATTTAACTGTGCAAAATCCAATATGTCATCCTGTAGTTTAACGGTGTCCCGTATGTAAGGTATATCGAGGTTTCTGTGAAGGGTTTCGTTAGAGATGTCTTTACTTTGGAGGATATGCATATTTTGCATGTAGGTTTTTGCAATGAAACACCAAGCTGTGCAAGTGTAAATTATTACTGGTTAAATGAGCATCTTATAAGTAGAACTGAATATTGTTATTTAAACTTAATTTTAAATATCTACACAATGATGGGTAGCGCTGCCGAAACGTAATTCGGAATTTAGTTTACAACGCTTCAGCATGATTCTGCCAAGCTAACACTTGGTTGAAAATGACACTGAGGTACTTAGCGGTGCTTTCACATAGTACACGACCTACATTCTTTTCTTTTTCGTACAATAGGAAATAGGAAATTTATTTTTTGACGGAATGATGTAAATGTCTAGACCCTCACTGAAGCAATGTTGGACGTACGAGTCTAGAAATTTTATTGTAACTAGGCTTTGTTTCAAATATTTTGATGTTTTTTAACTGTTTCGCAATACATTTTTGAGATGACTCGTAGTGGTTGTAAGAATGAACGAATTCTTACCATATCTTCTGGTTTCTCTTCATGTTGACTGCTATGATCACTATCCAGATGGTACCTGGGTTCTTCGCCTACGTTCAGTCTCACTCTCGTACCCCGGGTTGTTTTCCGCACGCACAAATCGCCAGTGGAGTGCGATCTCTTCAATCTTACGTCAGTATCGTATTCATCAGTGTCGGCAAAAGCAAACCCTTGAAAGTGATAGGATTCGAAAATATATATTGAAAAACTGAAGAAAAAGTCATTACTAGCGGAATTTTCACTTGTCCATTAAGCTACGATGACGCATTTGAAAAGATAGATAGATTACTCAAGAAAAATCACACTTTTTGAAGAGTCGAGATGAAATTCTTATTTATAAGTTCACTGGAGGGCAAATGGCGCAAGTGCATTGATGTAAGGGGGGATTTTATTGAAATATATAATGATCAAAAACATCGTATGTCTTTTGTTTCATGTCTAGATAGACTTCTTTTCTAGTATTCCTCTTATTCATGCATCACTCCGATTTTCAGCTTGCTAACCTAACATTCCAAAAATAATAGAGGTTCAATACAGAATATGAAAAAATTTAAATCATACAACTTATTTCAAGAAAATGCTGTTTCAAGCTAACAATTTAATTTTTCCCGTGAAAAAGGACCTTCGTTATTGTGACGTCACGTCTACATGTCATCACCGAAACCATCACTAATGTCAAACATATTTACAGGGCATCTGTGATAGATGCCAGATTATAGTTCCCAAAAGCTTTAACACAATTTTATATTCCAAAAGGCATTATTGGTAGTTTATAATATTTTGACCCTGAGTGCTAGTTCCTGTTGGAATGCTGCTGGAAGGTTGTGGGACATTTTGATACAATCTGGTTAGGAAATGTGTGCTGGACAGGGAAAAATTAGTGAAGTCTCCGGATTATTCTTAATGGCGTTGTACTTGGACTACTCGTCTTCAAGAATCAGCTGATCGCATAACAACTATTACAGCTGCTATAATAGTTGACCATAACCTCAAATATCTTGCCCTAAACAGGCGTGATGTCACAGACAAACGAACGTTCTGTTCCAAGTAACTTTTAACTCCTATTTAATGATTAAAATCATTGCTAGAACAATTGATTGAATACATGATAATACCATTTTCGTGGATGTCTGATATCTGAAATCTTCCATCTTCATTTCCTCTACATGGCCTGAAGAACAGCTCTTTGTCTTCATTACCGATTCGATCCAGTGACTTCAAGTCTATCTTGTGATTGGCCAGCGACTTGAGGAAATAGTCTACTGTTATTTCTGCATTTGTCCTTTGGATGCTTCTACTGAAAAAAGATGAAGTCAAGTAGATTGATTGAGTACTCATGCAGTGATGTATACCTATATTACATTCTGCATGTTATTGATGGTAAACGGAATATGAAACATGGTTTTGAATTTTTAAATTGCCTAAACATTTTTTCAGAATTTGGAAAACTGAAGGTTACAAAACATGGAAACATAAAGTTCCGATTTAAAAATGTTGCTATCTTAAAAATTTTTTTGACTGTTTAAAAATGACCAAGAACACAAAAGACATCGTAAAACAAATAAACGCTGTTTCATCCTTGTTGGGAATCATCGAAACGATGTACGTTATAAAACAGTGAACATAGCCAGAGGGATTTCATCTTTCAAACAGTTTCAAGTACTAATACTTACCTCGGTTCACCTGCTTTATTATCTGTGTCTTGCAAACTTAGTTGTATGGCTAGCTTTAGCTGGTCATCCCCACTACTTTCATTGCTATTATTCGAAATACTTGAACTGGGATCGGGCGTTATAGCATTGTTCATAGCCTGGGCCTGTTTCATTCTATCTTCGATCATTTGCAATCGCGACATTTCCAGGGCTATTATTAGCTCCATGTTGTAATCAGACCCTATAAAAACGTATTCTTGGAGTAATTGAAAAACTGAAATCCATGTGCAAGAATGAAAGACAAGTACCTATGGACAGAATGGTACATTGTAAAACATTGTTAGAAAATAATATTTAGCACTGCCACACACTTCCCGCAGGTCATTACTTTTGCCAAACGCTTTGAACAAAGTTTTTGAGTGAGACTTTAGAAAAAATGTATTTACAAATTTTCAATGTAATGTCTTTTTTTTATACAGGGTGTTAGCGCTATCGGAAGGAGTGCTCTCTTTAAAAAATACAACTTTATCCGATAGTCATCCAGAATTAGAAAAAGACCCTAGGATGAAAAACCTTACAACGTCGTACAGACACCTTGTTTGAAGCATATTTTACAAAGAATATATAAATATCAGCTAACCGAATTATAAGTTGGTCTTATGCTTACTTAAACTTTAACATCTGGTACCGGCAAATCGCCCCGCTACCCTACTTCGTGGAAACCCAGACGTTGAGAGTACATACAGGGTTTGTCCGGAAAGTAATAGGACTCATTTTCTTCCGCCATGACTGTACTTCGGAGCGGAGCGGACGCGCACCGACTGGATTCGCTAGAGGGCGTTCCTAGCTAACGAATGAGCGGCTGGTCAGTTGTCTCCGAGCACTTGGATAGTCAGGACAGGCATTTTCGCGCGACGTGTTTCTGTGAGTGGTGCAAGCCGAAAATGCAGCGTTCGTTAGAGCAGAGGTACGCGATTAAATTCTGTGTGAAACTCGGTACATCTGCGACAGAGACGTTTGATATGATCAAGCAGGCTTACCCAGGTGTTGCTTTAGGAAGAAGTGGTGTGTTTCGGTGGCACCTAGGCCTTTTTGGAGGGTCGGGAAGAGGTCGCTGATGAAGACCGTGCTGGAAGACATTCGACTTCGACAAACACCGATAATGTGACTCGTGCGCGCACAGTTTTGAACTCAGACCGTCGACTAAGTATTCGTTTAATTGCCCAGATGTTAAATTTACCAAAATATGTGGTTCATGACATTGTGATACAGCATTTGAACATGCGCAAGGTGTGCGCGAAGATGGTCCCAAAAATGCTCACTGACGACCAGAAATTGCGCCGAGTGGAAGTGTGCCAAGAAAATTTGAACATGTGTGAAAGTGACCACCAATTTTTGAATAACGTAATCACATGTGACGAGTCGTGGATCTTTGAGTATGATCCCGAGACAAAGAGGCAATATTCCGAGTGGCACACGACGGTGTCTCCTCGCCCAAAAAAGGGAAGAATGAGCAAATCCGAAGTGAAAACGATGCTTATTGTCTTTTTTGACATCAAAGGCATCGTCCACCATGAATTTGTTCCTCCTGGACAAGACGTCAACGCCAAGTTTTACGTGAAAGTGCTCAGGAGACTCAAACGGAGGGTCAGTCGGCTCCGACAAGACATCGCAGCCGACTGGAAGTTGCACCACGTTAACGCCCCGGCTCACACCGCCTTTCTTGTGAACAGCTACCTGACCAAGGCCTTTTTTTGTTTCCTCGCCTGAAAAGGCCGATGAAAGGCAAGCATTTTGAGACGACAGAGGGGATCCAAGCAGCATGCACCGCGGCTCTCAAGGCTATTCCGGAGAATGCCTTCCGTGACGCCTTCAATGCTTGGAAATCGCGCTGGTAGCGCTGCAGAAGCAGCCTATTTTGAAAGTTTTTAAAGAATTGTAACGGTTGGCTCAATAAATTTTCTTAAATCGACTCAGTCCTATTACTTTCCGGACAAACCCTGTATAAAAATCTGACAGTCCTGAGGTTCTTGCTTATTTATTTTATTTTAGCTTAGCTGTAACGCAAGGGTTCCGTTCCTTCTAGTAGGTACAATTTGAGTAGATGTAAATTTAGCTTCAACCATAATCTTACTTTGGAATTTCGAAAAAGAGCGCGGTTTTGGCGCGAAATTTCACAAAGGATACGTATTTCCGCTTCTCGTTCAAAATCATATGTATACATTATAAGTTCTGGGGGCAAAACTTTGATATCACGTTTAAATAAAAATTTCGCCAATAGCCCATTATAAAGTTTCGATTACTTACGTCCACAACTTCGACTGCAAAGAAGTCCACACTGGTGATCATGCACCACTCCTTTAGGCATAAGGTATGGGCGGAAAGGTACATTTTTGTGACTGACAGAAAGATCCGTTTCTTCGTCGGTATCGTATTCTGGCCATTCGCATTCCTTGAGCCAAGCGCAGGTTTGAGACAGATCAGACTGAAAATGTAGAAAACACTATGAGCACCGTTGAGGTTGCATAAATATATGTCGCGAGGATATGTGTTTACCTCTCTATTCTACTGTATATGCATTCATTTACCATACAATTTATACCTACGTCTATATATCTATGTCTCCATGTATCTAAGTATCTAACGATACAGCTCTGTATCGATCTACCTATTTATTTCTTTATATATGTATTTTTCTGACTGTATATAAATCTTATCTGTATATTCACCCAAGCAACTAACTTACTGCCCTGCCTTTTTTGTTTTATAAAAGCTGTACAACTGAATGTTAAAACGGTAAACTTGGGGTTGGGGGGAAGTGGCCTTGTAGCTTGGTTAGGACTTAGATATTTCTATCTAGATTGGTTCAGTTTTTATCAGAAGAAAGTTGACTTTCATAAAAAAAAAGGTTGTAATCGAGAGTAATAACGTTAATTTGGCCTGATGTATCTAAGTTTTGGATTTTTTAAGCTAGATCTGTTCGGCTTTTATCAGAAACAGTAGTTTTTTATAAACATTGTGCCATTCAAAGTTAGTATGTTCAATTCGGTCTAGATAGGGTAGGGTGGGTTGGTGGTTGTGTACTGGGTAAGTTTTCGATATTTTATGGACTAGTGTTGAGAATTTATGGGCTTTTTCAGTTGTCAGGTCTTACTTTATAAAATTATAAATTTATATCAATTTGAATTAAATTTTTAGTGTATTATAAAGCAGACCACAACTTTGATGCACACCTATTCTCTAGGCGCTGAAGAAAGAAACTAAACCCAAACAAATACACGCATATTGCTCGTGAGTGAGTGTTTAGGCGCAGGAGACATTACAGGACCGCATCAAGATATTATGGGTAGTCATCAAAAATTTCATACAAGATAATTATTATCTTTTACAGTAAATTTCAGTTAGAGATTCACAAATGAGTTAACTACACTTATTAGTTATTAGTAAGTAAGCTGCGCGCACTCATTCAGAAGAGGAACTTGAATCTTCTGAATCGTTTAAATGAATTATTAGAGGTTCAATTTGGGTATCGATGACATTGTCCAAATCCCACATTTTGACCTCAACCTTCTCCCGAACGTGGCGGATACAGTTTTTCCATTCCTCTGCCGTAACTCTATTGACTGCGATGTGAAAGAGATTTTTAACATCAGAAAATTTATAAGTATTATTATTCGACGCCACGTATTGCTTTATGTTGGCCCAAATCAGCTCAATAGGATTCACTACTAATCTTAATATCTTATCTACTGTAGGTATCTCATTTCGGAAGAAAAAATTATGCACTTTCCTCCTGATGGCAGTTCTGTCAAAGTCATCTACTCCGTCCGTTATCCTTTTTCTTGCAGGATACGGTTTTGGCTCAGAAAGTGAGTGAGTGCTCCTATATTCCTTAATGATCCTATAAACACTGGACCGACATACTCCAGAAATATGTGCTACCTTACATATAACTTCGTCCACGACCAAATCGGGTTTTTCTTGAATTTGGTGTTTTTGTATATATTTAATATTATTTGTTTTTCATTTGCACTTAAATGTAGCTTCTTAGCCCTTTTTTTGGGTGGGGTTGCGCTGATGTCAACCACTTCGTCGGCTGTATCTGTGTCAGACATCGTATCTTAGGCAATATATAAACAAAACGTTCCACTCGCGAAAAACGAGTATACGCTACTGAATGCGTAATGCGTATGCAATGCAATCCTGTGCGTGAATTAACTGTTAGATGCCTGTCGTGTCATCTACAATCACGTTTACAAGTCCAAACCTGTGCAGATTCGTAGAGCGCCGACGACTGCTAGTGACCTTGAATTTGTCTGTAGATCGATGTTACTCCAGTCAATTTAGGTTCAAAGTGGATGTTTTCTAAACCAATTTGTTGTTCCTACATCAAAAATATATCGATGATGTTTTGTACTGGGAGCTCATGAAAGATCAAGGTGACTTATTTTAACAGTCATCCTTTTTCTAGTCTCAAGATGACACGAAAAAGGGTCTGTGGATTCACTAGAAATACACTGTCGAGGATGTTTAGACCTAAAGTGACTGAAGTATATCCGTGGATGCTTTCGAGGGATCTGTTCAGGTGCTGATCACTGTTTACGTTTAATGTCTTTCTTCAGCGCCCAGAGTATAGTCATGATGCGTAGAGTATCAAATATAGTGAAATTCAGAATGAACGGAGTTAAGTAGATTGACTCTGCAACGCCGTTATGAGCTCATAAAGGATAAATTCAATACAAGTTAGACTCTCTGAGAAAAAAGTTTGTTACGAACATGTCTTACAGAGAAAATAAACGACTCAAGTCAGTCAAACAAACCCACACAATTAGTTCAAAGACATTCTTTCCCTGCCCTACCGGTAGTCCATCTGGCAACGTCGCATTTCCCCGATACCTGGCGGCACTACGCGGCAGCATGGCAGTAAGGGCACACTTACCAATACCGGTACCCTCGCCGGTGATCCTAAACAGCAGAAGCAGTAACACGTATCGAAAGCAGTTGCCTATCATTCTAAGGGAAAATGTACGTGGATATCTATGATGTTGGAAATATGTCTAATAGGTGCGTAGAACTACCGAGGTTGGGGCGCCCAGTCCCTTAAAACCCCCATGCCCCAAGTTTTCACCGCTAAAAAAATTTTCTTTAATGATCAGGATACTCTGAAACGTCAAAAAAACCGAGATTGAGTGAATTTATTTTTTTTTCGCCCTTGGCACAGTAGTAACCTTATGTGAACATGTTTTTTCGTGATGTACATGTCATATAACATCCATAAAACATAATATTGAATTTTCGATTTTTTTTGCGATTACAACACTTTCTCACCAGTAGTCGTGGGAACTACAAGCACACTCAACAGTATTTAAAAGACTTGTACTTTGAGATGATTTTTTGAAAAAAAAAGTACTCGTCATGCTGCATAACTTTAAATATAGGAAAAAACGCTGTTTTTTGCACTTTTAGCGCAGCAAAAACTTTCGAGAAGGTATTCCCTCGTTTTTGGGCAAAAATCTTGTCGGCTTGCAGAATATGTAATAAATAATATTCTCCAAACGCCTCCGCGACTATAGATAGTTGAGTAATGCACAGAAAAAGTAGATTAGGGACCTGGGGACCCTGTGCTGACTCACATTAAAGTATCTTCGCTTCCTTTTTCTTTGCATCGGTGGTGTTTCCGGTGGAATGAGACCTTGAGAGACTGCTCGAACAAATTCGTGTCTTTTCCTTCGCGCTAAAGCTGTGGTTTGCATTATCACAGATTTCGGTGTTCGAAGGTACGGTCTAGCGATCATTTCACTTAGTTTTTCTGTCACTTCTTCCAGTTCGTTCTAAAAAACACAGTTTAAAGATAATTCGATGTTGATACTGGCATTTTATATTTCTCAGAGCTATAGAGAGGATTTTGTAATGCACTTGGGCGCCAGCAGGAATTTTTTGTGAAAGCGTATCTGCCTCCGAAACTTTTTGAAGAGCGGTGGGTGGCAAATTTTACGCGGGCGGGGGATAATACCCTCCCTGGTATCCTCTGCGGACGCTCGTGGTAATAAACTAAGGCATCCACAACTTGGTGGAGTATATAGCTACAAAACGAATTCACAACAAGTGTACAACAGCGTGTGCTGAGTTAACATCTTGCAGAAAACCCTACGAGATGTCAAAAAAAACCAAGATACGTAATACCCGTGCGGGTGTTACAAATTCGACCCTTACCATTGGGATTTTGGAAATAGTAAGAGATACGAAGTCGCTTAAATGGGGGCAAAGTTGCGTATTCAGGTAACTAACAGAGTGTCGCTTAGATAATTTCGAAATTTAAAGTACTTCTAGAGAGAGAGACGGAAAAAAAACAAATTCTACCAAAACCGTCTTAATTTTCTCCTGACTTCATTTTTAGTGGGTTTACGAAATAAATTGCACATTAACATTACTAATTGTTTCCTCTATAAGATGGCTTAATCATAATTTCAGTATGACGTTTCGTCTATTCTCCTCCAGCATCAACCTTATTTTTTTCTTGTGGGCGTCATATGGGATTTTTGCACAGATAGAGCTTTTGATTCTGATTCCAAAAATGTATAACGTGTCATTGACATTTTTAAACCTCGGTTGTTCCAAAAAACAGAATTTTCTAAGTAAGCCAGATTTGGGGCTAAATCATTTTTATTTTTTCCTGACTTTATTGGAGACGCAATTTCAAAGTACATTGCATATTGTCATTGTTCAAGAATATATTACTTCAACTAAATATGTGAAGTTTATCTTGACATAAATGAGTGTAGGACATTCATAACTGAATGCAGAATCAAGAATTGTGTTCGATTGTGCAAATTTGCAATATGGAGTCCATAAGAAAAAACAAAATTGTTGATGGAGATCGGAAGCAGAAACCTTCAAATAAGAATTTGTCTACGCCTTCTTGTAGAGGTGAAAGGTTGGCAATGCAATTTATGTTAAAATAACATTCCAAATAAAAGGAGGAAATAAACATCGATTTTGGGATACATCCTGTATACGAAATAAATAACTATCTGGTAATGCCAGGGCCTACGTAGGAAACTAATTTTTTTTCAAATAACAAAGTTTACGCAATGTTTCCATATGGCATTTTACATTTTTAGAATCAGAATTAAAAAATCTGTTCATCTATGCAAAAATCCAATATTGCTTCCATTAGAAAAAATAAAGTTGATGCTGGAAGAGACAAAACGTCATATTGAAATTCTAATTGTGCCATCTTGCAGCGGAGAGAATTGGCAATGTTAATATGTAATTTATTTTGAAATCCCCCTACAAGTAAATTCGATTCTGGGAAAACTCGTTTTTTCCGTCTCTCTCCGGAAGTATTTTAAATTTCGTAACTTCTTAGCGGCATTTTGTTAGTTACCTAAATACGTAACGTTGCAAGCGACTCTGTATCTCTTACCGTTTCCACTCCAATGGTGAGCGTCTAATTTCAAACACCCGCTATATAAACTTCGAAGTCTTATGTCTTGAACATGAGCTGCCGGATTTTGATGACATAACCTGATGACTTCCCTTGCAGATCCATGCATAAGTTAGTGAATGGTGAGCCACGAGGATCAAATTTGTGTGCCAATATTATGAAACGTACACTTCTCGAAATACATTAACTTACCTGCATGAATTCGAAAATTGTCTTATTGTAACCGTCATCTTCAAGATAGTATCCGTAAACATAAGATCCACACAGGACTCTTCTTGCCTTGAGTAACTCCCTAACTCCATCTTCAACAAACTTCATTCCTTTCTCACCAGCATCTACGATACAAAAAACTTACACTGAGAAGTAGTTAGTTGAAAGTATATTGATCTGATGGAATGTACTCCTAAAAATCCCAACAATTTACTTGAATGAAGTAGAAATAGCAAAAATACTGTTGATATCTTTCACAAGCATATAGATGCGTAGGTGTTTTTATATACCTACTGAAGCAGTCGAGTAGGCAAGAACCTAAATACGTTGGCACCGAGACTTCTATAAGGTACTTAAAGGTGCCTTGTTAATTGAGAGAGAAAAACCTCCTCAGGCAGACTGTCACAGTCTCGACACCTAGGAACGAAGGAGCGATTGTACCGACCAACTCTCGATGTGCGTAGTACGTCAGAGCGTGGATGGGAGGTCAAAGTCAGGATGGTCTGTCTGGCAGACTTAACGCGTGGCGGAATTATAGAGGTGAGCTCTTAAGAACAAAGCCTAGCGATAGAGAAGTCATTGATCATCGAGTATGGGCAATGTAGTTGAGGGTAGAACCACAATCAAGTGAGCAGTAGTTGAGGCTATGCCTAGTACAGAGTGAGGAGGTTATGCGGAGAAAAGTACTTAGACAAACAACCTAGCTTTTTACAGACAGCTGCTGTGTTGGTATTGTAGGGCAAAGAGGAGAGCTCGCCATTTACTACGGAGAGAGAAAGTCAGTCACTCATCTATAAAGCTTCTCTGGGAGGCCATAGGATGGAAGCTTGTGTATGAGAGCAGCATGACATGAGCCTCATCATGCGACTGGATGAGTTTACCTTACAGTTGTGAGGCGTAAGCTAGGAGGCTCCATGTTGGTTGCTGGTGTCGGAAACCAGACTGCCTGTCGCTAATCAGAGATTCGAGATACTCTAGAAGCTCCTTATTCATGCACTTTTCCTTCACCTTTCTGATAACAGAAAGCAGACCTATAGCTCCGTAGTTGTATGGGTCGATCTTAGATAATTTTTTTTTGGGGTTACTTGGACATAAGCAAATTTCTATTTATCTGGAAATGTACCAGATTCGTAAGAAATCTGGAGAGGACGAGAACTGAGGCAAGCTCTGCTGCATATACCTTCAGCACAATAGGAGACATCAGATTAGGACCAAATGTTGTTGTCGAGCGACATTTGAGTATGTAAGCTGATCTTAGAGTAGTATTATTAATGTAACATCTGGTAGTTTCCACGCTGATGATTCTCTATGTTTTGCTGGGCGCCAAGTGAAATAACAGATGTTACTAACACCTCGAGAAATACGGCGTAAGCGGTTTAAACGTTTGTGAACATCAGATCCAATATAAGTGGTTTCATTTAGAGCCAAGAAAGAATAGATTAAGTTTAATGACTAAGTTGGTCACAGATACGAAATGAATCATGCACTACTATGCTGGAATAATGGAGCGTTATGTCCAATTTTACACCGCAGATGTTTTTTTTTCTTGCGAAGAAGAGATTTCCCCTGACCTAAAAACCTTGCTTATTTATGACTTAAATGGTTCAGTATTCGTACATTTCAGTTTAGGATCACGTTATTTCTATAATCTACATAAAGGCTTGAACAAATACTAAGGAAGTATATTGAATATGGATTCCTACCTTCACCTTTTTTCAAACCCAAGCTACTAGCCAACAAATCCATTTTCTGTTTAACGCCGGTCAGCAAAGGTTCCTCGAGCTTCTGACTATTCTCATGGTTTTTAAACCTGGTATAAAAATGTAAAAATCTAGAAATCTCTTGCATCTGATTATTCCTGTCCATCGCCTCTATCATGAGCGAACCTTGTTTCTCGTCAGCCTTCGTCACAGCTTCAAATCTATTGCATCTAAAGTAGCCACCTGTCGCAGAGCTATGGCGTTTCCACGCTTCTTGACATACCCAGCAAAAGTCGAATTTGCACTAAAAATTTAATAAAGTGATTAAAATATTCAACATGTCAGATGTAGCATCGGTGCCAAAACACTTTCTGTCTTTTGTCTATGTATAGAACTACGATGAGTCCTGGTAAGCACGACAACTCCATTGTGGTAGCATACACAACGCATTGTATGATCTTACTCAGAAGTAGTAGACAGGTCTACGTGGTTTCAGTTATCGGTTCATCATGTTGTCTTGATGAACCCTAACAAGGACTAAATAGTGCCGTCTACAAATGACTTGGGCAATAGATGGAGAACAGGCATGGGATCAATTATTGTCCTGTATATTAATCAACTCACTTTGGAGCATTTCATGTGGTTACATCCCTCGTTTTTCTGTATCGGACTTTTGCAATTTGGGCATGGCTTAGCATTGGTCACTAGCCACAGAAAATTGGCAGCATCTTCAGTTCCTGTACAAGAAGCTTTGAGTTCTTCTGGTTTGACCTCTTTGATCTTGACTTGCCATTCTTGCCATTGTTTACAGCCGCAAGGAGCATGAGCTTCTCCTGCAAATAATAATTTCGATTTAGTTTATCTAGATATCTCGAGAGATTGACATTTATGTATGAGAATAACTTTATCACTAATATTCACAACAATTTGAAATTATCCATACGTTAACACTTAATAATATCGCGCTTAGAAAAAGGTACTTCAAGAATTTTATTGTAAATAAAACCACCAATTTTGAAAAAATGTCATAATTGTCAATTGTCAGAATGGGAGTTATATGACTCCATTGCTTAGCCTCTTAATCAAACCGCATATGTTTTAGATACTGGGTACGTTGTTTCAGCCACCACGTTGGCATTTTTCAAGTATAATGACAATGACGACGATGACGATAACGATAACGAACGATAACGATAACGATGACGATGACGATGACGATGACGATGACGATGACGATGACGATGACGATGACGATGACGATGACGATGACGATGACGATGACGATGACGATGACGATGACGATGACGATGACGATGACGATGACGATGACGATGACGATGACGATGACGATGACGATGACGATGACGATGACGATGACGATGACGATGACGATGACGATGACGATGACGATGACGATGACGATGACGATGACGATGACGATGACGATGACGATGACGATGACGATGACGATGACGATGACGATGACGATGACGATGACGATGACGATGACGATGACGATGACGATGACGATGACGATGACGATGACGATGACGATGACGATGACGATGACGATGACGATGACGATGACGATGACGATGACGATGACGATGACGATGACGATGAGATGACGATGACGATGACGATGACGATGACGATGACGATGACGATGACGATGACGATGACGATGACGATGACGATGACGATGACGATGACGATGACGATGACGATGACGATGACGATGACGATAACGATAACGATGACGATGGCGAAGGCGATGACAACGACGACGACGATAACGATGACGATGACGATGACTCCCTAACCTCGGACTTCACATAAATCATACAACATTTGTACCAGTAACACTGTTCATTAATGTGTCCTCACTAGGTAACTGAGCCCCTTCCATTGCTAAATATGATTTGAGTTTCTATAAGTTCTAGTGAATTCAAATCTCACCTAGGCATTCCCAACAGAAGAAATGTCCATTTCCACAATCGACAGCATGGGAAGTGTCCGAAACTGTCACCTTGGGGGTTGGATTGCCTTCAGTTGAGGCTGCGCGTTGCTCGGCTTCAGGATATCTGACAGCTCGGCCGCAACCAGCCACTGGACACCATTTGATGCTTTTGTTACTCTCCACGAACGCCTGATTTAACAAAGCACGTATATTTTATTCTAATATTAGCAAGGAAGATTGGATCTGCCATATCATCAAAATGAAGAACCAATAACTTGAAACTACTTTCTAGAAGTGTATGCCGAAGCTTGATCTGATTGAAACCGCAAGCTTGGGTAATGTTATACAACTCTCGCTAAAAACTTTTGCAGCATTAGTCGGTGGCAAATACGAATAAAGGGAATGGGACTTTCTTGTAAACCCTCACGTAAGCGTTCGATAGGTCCACCCGATTTTGTTTCGTTAGTCCGTAATTAGTGAAAATATCTTCTCTACTAAAGAAATGAAAAGTACATTTTAAGTAGCTAATGCGTTATAAATAGCAGAAAACTTTACAAAAAATGAGATAAATGTTTTATGTATGATTCAAGACACCAGATCTGCGAGGAAACATATCAAAATAAGCTACAAAAATGCTATTGACTGTTGATGGATTCTCAAAACTGTCGTATAATAAAGATATGATCTGTAACCAGGTTTTTAAACCTGCCTGGTTCTGTGCTTATCAAGTGAGTTAATGTAACACCTGAAACTTATCCTGTGGTTTTCATTTTGACAATCTCCCATGGTTATCTGGCCAATCAAACCACATGTGTTTTAAATTATCCTTTATTGTAACCGTCTTCAAGTACAATTGACACTTTTCTGAGAATATATTATTAACCTACCAAAGGAGATTATATTCCATATTTAAAAATCGTATTGAATTCATTGATAATAGTAATTATTTTATGTTACTGATAGAAATATTTTGGAAGAAGCCTCAACGACGTTGCAACTTCCGAAACACTGTTGATACACATAATTATTAAAACCAATGCACACTTCTTACAAACAAATACCATTAATCTATGGCTGACTTATAATGTGGAGCGCCTCCATCATGCTGAAATGACGATTTCTGTAGTCAATAAGTAGGCAAATTAGTTGAATGTCATCGGAAATTGAAGCATTGGTGATTTAAATAAATAAACATGTGATAAACTGTTATTCTGTTATTAGTCAATCAAAACGCTGGTAATACACAGCTTGGTTTTTCCTCTAGGCCAAATAGTGCAGTTCAAGCCAACAATAATGTTAATCGGGATTTTCAATTGCTAGCCCAAAGGGCAGTTCCAAAATCCTCATTTTAATCTGAATTCATCGAAATCAGCTGCGCTTATTTTTGGCTAACATGAGGTAGAGGAGGAACTAGTTTAGCTATCAATGGCGAACGTTTAGCATGTAAAACATCTGTAAAGCATTTAGGCGTGACATTCGACACAAAATTACGGTTTAAGGAAGATACTTTGATACGTGTAGAAAAGCTTATATAAACCTCAAAATGCTCTACCCGTACGCGTCACTTACTAAGCCTATCACAACAACTTAGTGTTATCGCAATTAAATTATTGTGACCCATGTCTTGAGTGAAAAAATCGAATCGAAAGGGTACAAAAATCAAGCTTGAGATTTATTCATGGTATAAGGATATACATGAGAATATCTGACAAACTGCAAGGTGCAAATTGGTTATTTATTATCTAAAAGAGACGCCAATTACACTCATTAGCGCTGTACCATACAATTTTAATTAACAATTGTTCACTTTACTTATATAATAAAATTTCCTTTAGAAATGATGTCCATCTCCTCAACCTTGGATATAAATACTTTATACACCAACTCTACATAAAACGATTATGTTCTGTAGATATATGATACAATATACAGTTCATGAAAGCTTTAAGTTGCAGTCCAGTCCTCCCTTACTAGACATTTACTTCCTCTTTTTCTTTTCTTTTCCCATACTTTATTCATCATACCCATAACTGTGTTTCATTCTATGGGATTTAGCCGTGATTCTGAGTTATATTAGCTTATATATAGTTTTTTTGGGTCTAATAATGAGGTTGTCATTTTATCAGAATTATGATGTAGGCAGTCACTTTTGCAGTAAATGTTATTTTAAATTTCAGTTTTTAATTGATCCGACATTTTTGTTGCAAATATTCGCTTCTCGTATTATTATTCTTATTATTATTATTTTGAAAGCCAACTATGATAATGTTAGTTGCTTTGAAACAATCTAAGTTTGGCAAAATCAATGTATGTCATATTATGCATTATTGGAATGGCGTCTATGAGAAAAAAATGAGGGCAAAAGACGAAAAAATAAAATATATTGTCAGAAAATGTCAATTGTGATCTTGCTCCAAATATTTCGATATTGACATACTCGTAGTTCAGAGGTTCGACATAAGAACATGATTTTCCTTTGGCATGTACCCAGTCGGTTCAAATCTTTGTTTGATTGCGGATATAGTGAAGAAAATGGAGGCCGGGCACGATGCGACTTATGGATATATCATACGAAATGATGTACAATCAGTGTACCCTTCCTTGGTAAATAAAGATGCCTTTACCTTGATATCGAACTGCAGATACCTCCTAGCCATTTCTGGTGTAACAAGCTTCTCGATTAAATCTACCGGTACCAAAATATGACACTGATAAGCTGGACAAAGTATGTGGTGAGCATCTCCATCTTGAATTTTCGATGTCAAGTAGCTCTTCCAGCAAGTATTGCAGAAATAATGCTTGCACGACATGCTTATCGGTGGTTTATCTTTCGAAGTGGTTTCTAGCAGGCATATGTCACACTAAAAGGAAAAAAACATACTGTACCCTGGAAACTAGGCTACTTTTCACATGATATCGATGTGAGGCCCCAAAACTACCATTTTTCTCTTCTAAATAAAACTTAGCAACATCTTAGTAGCATATCAAGCGTATACTTTGTTCACGCTTCGATACAGACAATGCGTAGACAATGTAGACAGTAGTATATACAATGGTGAAGACAATGTATAGAATAGCATAATTAAGGTAGGTTCACTCGCAAACGACAAAACATTAGTGACCTGCAAATATATTTAAAACCAATATGGTTTGGCGCGGTAAAAATAAGAAAATTGATGAATTAGTGTTCATTTTGTTTAAAGATGGATCAAAATATCGGCCGTGTCTCTAAAAAAATGGCGTCAAGTAGGTTGACTCTGTACTTTCTACGCCAAGCTGTTCATAAAGGATTCAACACAAACTAGACCCTCCGAGAAAAAAGTCAGTCAAATAGGTCCATACAATTAGTGCATTGACATTCTTTTCCTGCTCTACCTGCAGTGCATCTAGCAATGACGGCTTAATCCGGTTAGGCGTGGCAGGGCGGTCAGAGCCTAGCGTGTAACACCATACCAGAAGCGTGCCGCCGGTAACAGTAGTCGGATCGGTAGGTACGCTATCTGTTTGCTGAGGTTATTTAAGTTTAAAGGGTACGGAAAATCTATGGGTGAAATATGCCCAAGGCTGCGAGCGGATAAATGTACTAAAATCAAAAAAATGATGTAAGCCCTCTCCAGGATCCTACAATACCCACCACTAAGCTTTTTACCCGTAATTTTTTTTTCAAAAATGATCAGGATCCTATGAAACGTCAAAAAAAGAAGTTTGAGCGATTTACATTCTTTTTCGATCTTAGAATTTTTCACTGCCGCCACTGGACCGATTTCCAAAAACTACGAAGCTTCTACGACCTTATAATAGTATTAATATTGTGTGTACGTTTAATTGAAATCCGAGTGATACTTCTCAAGTAATAGGGGGTTATAAGATTAGCGGACATACCGACATACAGACAGACAGACCGACGAAAATTACATTACATGGTTTGTCATGATGCAGTAGGCGTGGGAAGTAAAAGCTATATAATTCAGTTATACAAGTTCACTTGTGTCGCATTGTAATATGAGGCTATCGACGTGTCATTTTACCATCTTAAAATGTAATAAAACTTATTGTGTTTGGAATGCGGTGGTAGTAGATAACTTTTTGGTACCTTACATCAAATTTCTCCATTTGAAAGGTACTACCCGAATTTGCAATAAAATGCAGGGCTTTCCATTTAAAAAACGTATGCTTGTCACTACGTAGTTACGTATCACTCTGTAGAAATAAATATATTATCCAAGTAAGAAGCATTTTGTTGGCTACAATTTTTGTAATTAACGTTTTTCGATACCATACGTAATAACAGAGTATAATGTAAGGTTGTGGTGAGAGCAAATAAACGTAACTATTCTGAAAATGTTGCTAAAATGCCGAAACCTCTAGTTCGCCAAGCAAAAGCAAAAGAATTCGTCATTTCTTTGACGAAATATTTTGAGACTGAACGAGATCATGGAGCTCCATTATTGCCTTTACAGTCCGTAAGAGAGGTATTAGGTAGTAAATAGAATTTATACTGGCTATAGCGTTTACAAAACACACTCCGTAATGTTGGTTGCGATAAGGCATCGAAGACGTAAAGTAGATATTGTAAAACGTCCTAGGATCTAGTAGTTTTAATTAATGTTGCAACCATGTGGATCAAGCATCACTGTCATTATTTGAAGATGTGACGTAACTGCTTTGATTCATTGAATGGACTATAAATATTAGATTTTTTCTACATTTTCATCATCATCTTGAACTTTTCCGCATACTAAATGCCATTTCTCTTTGAAGTGAGACATCGGTTGATTGAATCATAAAAAAAATACAGAAAAAAGCAATATATACTAAGTGACATATAAATCCGAACACCCAGTTTAAATTGTTTTATTTCAATAAAATTTTGTATAAGTACTTAATGAAGCATAATAAGTAAATGATAAAAATTTCAAAATGATTGCACTGCTTTAAAGCCCTTTGACCTTTAATAATGTGTGGATGCACCCTGATGTGCTACGCATTCTCCAACGCGCCTAGGCATGCTTCTGATCAGGTGGTCAATGTCCTCCTGTGGTATCTCATTCCAGGCAACCACCAACTCCTCTCGAAGTGCTTCTAGAGTCTGAGGAGGACGTTGCAAATTGAGCAATCTCCTACCCATCATATCCCACACGTGCTCAATTGGGGATAAGTCGGGAGATCTTGGTGGCCATGGTAACAATGTGACATCATTATGTTGAAAGAAGTCTATTGTGACTCTTGCAACATGTGGTCGGGCATTATCTTGTTGGAAAGTTGGATCTGCCAGGGTGTCAAGATAGGGTAAAAGATGGGGCTCTAGAACTTCGTGGATATAAAGCTGCGCGTTCATGTTACCTCTGATGAAGATTGGTGACCTGGAACCATAAGCTATAGCACCCCAAACCATAACTCCAACAGTGTGATGAACATGTCTTTCAACAAAAAACTGTGGATTCCTCCTTTCACCACGTCGCCTTCTAACCCTGGCACGACCATCGTGCATGCCTAAACAAAATCGAGACTCGTCACTAAAGACAATACTGTTCCATTCCTGATCCCAGAGTGACCGTTGTCTGCACCACTTAAGGCGATTACGTCGGTGTTCTCGAGTTAAAGGGAGGACCCAGTGTGGCCGGTATGAAAACAAGCCAAAACTTCTCATTCGTCGGTAAACACTTCGCATGCCAATAGGTCTTCCGTGTTCTGCAAACCATTCATTTGCAATGGACCTGGTAGTGGAGAAACGGTCCCTTAAGGTCAATATAGGCGGCGATCTTCACGGTCTGTTGTTCTACGGCGGCGTCCATTGCCCCTTGCTCTTTGCGTACGGCCTGCTCGAAGCCATGCCTGACAACACCTAACCACAGTGTCTACACTTCTTTGCACTCTAACTGCAATTGCCCGAAAAGAAAGTCCAGCTTCCCGAAGTCCCACTATACGGCCCCTATCAAACTCACTAAGTTGACGAAATCGTACAGGTCTCCGTACTCTAGGCATCGTAACCGATCGTAAAGGATGTCAAGAACCAAAATCCGCCAACTGCGGCTGAAATATTCATTTTTAGAGCGTTAGTGAATTAAAAAAAAGCAGTATAAAAACCGGAATGTCCAACTGATAAGGCTGAAAATTTTTTCACTTGTTATTTACAGTAAGATAAGTACATTCACCAACTTTTATTAAAATAAAACCATTTAAACTGGGTGTTCGGATTTATATGTCACTTAGTATATATGCACAGCATAATCTTTTTCATTTATATCATGTACTGCTCTTTTTTTCTGCGAAACAATAATAAATTCAGAATATAACTTGCAGGCCGTTGCACCTAATGAAATGCAAGGAAATAAGAAAATTGACCCGACCTTAAATTTTGAGCTTCTAAAACATCTTAAGTTCAATTTTGAGAATTATTTTGATGGAGCCAAGTCGATAGCCCTTCAAATTTTGGGTTCTATGACACATAAACTGGTAAAAATAAGATCTTTGAATAAATAAAAATGTTTAAACTGAGAAAACACAAGAGGCGCAATTAATATATTTTGATAATTGAGTATCACCATTCGTTGGCTTTTTTGCACGTGGTTATAGATTCCAATATTAAGCTCAAAATATGTTGATTCTGATAAAAAAAAGAAAACAAGAAAGTGAAAAGGTCGAGTCCGGTCCTGGATTCTCCAACCGTCTGTCTAGTTTTAAGTTACTTTAATAGTGCCTGAGATGTATTATATTAAGGATTTGGTGCGTTTAGATAAATCCGTAAAATCTGTATTCAGAACTTTTTTATTTTCAGGTATGGGAAGGTCGAGGTCCATACTACCACCATTTCACTATATCCATTGAAGTACGGAACAATCTGTATACCAATACAATTTGGAACTTACTGCTTACCAAAGCTTCCTTATCCTCAGTCACGACTTCGTTGGTAATACTTGATACAGTCGATTCAAATGATCCAGCGTGTTGTAGCAAAGCAGATGGTGGCGCAGGTACTCCAGCAGTTTGGCAACACTGTACTGGATCCCTCATCCATTTTTCCAGGAGAAGTTCTCTAGACCACTCTGAAAAATATTAAGCATGCACCTCTCAGTATTTTTAACCTTGAAATTGTGATTTCACGAACAATCTCTTGGTTTTAATGTAGCTTTACTCACCATTGTCCCTCAATAAAGCTTCGGCAGTGAAAAGTGGAATTTTCAACATATCTGAGGTGTCCACCAATAGTTGGTCCTTGGCTTCTTGCAAGTCTTGGCTCCGTAGACCACTGTAGACCTCTTGTTCATGGATCACTTCGTCTTCGTTTACTATGTCGGCATTGTCAGCCTGCATTATTAACATTTTCCATTATTTAAGGACAAAAACTATTAGATAATAATAATAACCATGGTGTTTATTACCATTATCTATAAACGAGATTTAGCTTATAGCTACTGACATCACCTTAGGAAGATGTAATACACAGCAAAGTGAAGATCTTAATAAACAGATAAATAAAATCAACAAACCTATCTTTATACTAAAAACTTATTCATCATACTTGTTAGCCTGTTATGATATGCTAATCATTTACAGGTGTCTATCCTACAAATATTGTTGAAGCGACATCCGAAATTTCCCTGCCGGTAATTGTTTAAGATCTACAGGAAGTGAGTTGAAATTGGTGATTTATTTATATGTAAAACTTCTATGAAAAAAACTTGTTGTACAAATATGATATCATGTTGGAGTGCAACTGGAATTTTTAACCAATTCAAGTCCTTAACTTTTCCAGGCCATATTTTCTTAATAAAGCGACATCCTATATTTCGTATCACTAGACCTGTTATTTGCGATTTTGTAAGTTCAACTTAAAAAATGATGCAGAGTTATTATCAATATCATTATTTTAATTTAGTGAATAAAAAATCAATACAGTCGAAACCTTTTGAGTAATCAAGAGAAACAACAATCGATGCTAATTATTTATTGGTTTATTTATTTATTTACCCTTTCCCATAACATATACGAAAACATTACGTTTATGTGACAAATTACAATAACTTTATATGAATTATTAAACTGAAGAAGAACCAACGATTCATGTGATACCCAATCTACTTGTGTTTAAAACCTAACAAACCAAATTTAAATAGACACATTTCTCATGTGTTTTTCGATGTGCCTAATACTGTTGCTGAAAACACTTATGTTGTAGCTTATAGCGGCGTTGCCAGATCTAAGAATTCTAGAATGATGTGGAATCGTAAACAGTTCGTCTTTCATTAACATTAAGATAAATTTGTGCAAGCACTTCTGGGCAATCTATGACACCATTAACTAATTTAATCAGAAAAGGTAAATCAAAACTTTCCCTTCGGCGTTTCAAGGATTCGATGTTCAACGTACTCATTAGTTCTGAAGCATTATGACCCCGACCCATTTTAATAGCTGCCTGTTTTAAAAATTTACCCTGCACTGCTTCACCAAGTAAATTTGGCGACCTACCGTTGTTGTGTACTCCAAAATAATCCACTACAAAGAGCGGTATAAAATGCGAAAAACTTCTACAGAGCTGTTTGGTAGATCTAAAAATGTATCCCAATATTTTATATGATTTAGAAGTAATTTCTCTAATGTGTGTTTTAAAAGTTAATTTTGTATCAAAAGTTATCCTAAATCCCTAACTGAATCAGTTCTAATGAGGTCACGGGTTTCAACTCTATACTCATATGTGAGAGAATTTGAAGCTTATCTGGTAGCATTTATTCAAATTGAAGTTGATCTTATTAGTATTACGTCACCGAGTAAGATTTATGAGAGCTCTTTGTAGGATTTCCGCATCGTGGATGTTTCTCACTGTTATGAATAATTTAAGATCATCTACAAAAAATCAAATAACTGCTATTTGATATAGCTTCTTCCACATCGTTAATAAATAAATTAAATAAAACTGGACCAATGTGGGAGCCTTGGGGTACACCTGAAAAGACATTGATGGGATTATATAATGAACCGGCATATCTGACATACTGTGTTCGTACTGATAGGTAGCTTCTAAACCAGGATAGATGGCTGCTTGATACTCCCAATCTCTCTAATTTAGCTAAAAGCAGATGGTGATTTACTCTGTCGAAAGCTTCCGTATAATCCATGTAAACAGAGTCTAACTTGAAGCTTGTTCTCAAAAGCAGTTATTATGAAGTTCTTCATAAATGATTAAATGTTTATCGGTTGATCTACCTGCGGTGAAACCATACTGTTGGTTATTACTTGAAAAATGTCCCACGACAGTTCATTTGATACCAGGTATCTAAAAGCTTGAAAATTTCGGATTGGATACTTACTAATAATAATAATAATATTTATTCAATCAATGTACAAAGAGAACAAACAACATGAGTAAATAAATATAAAATCAAAACAGGCCCAATAAAAGGCATTGCCTGTACATGGAACAATAATTTTAAGTTGCAACTGTAGAATGCAAATGTCAAAAAAGGACAAAAAGTTACCACAGTAGACATATAATATTGCAGTATCATCTGCAAAACTGGTTATTTTGCCAACACAATTAATTTGGAAAATATCATTTAAATGTATATTGTATAACAGTGGACCTAAGACAGTTCCTTGTGGGACACCAGACTTAATATATATTTCTTTGCTAAACGATCCTAACATCTGAACAGATTGTTGGCGATTTGATAGATACTTTTCCATCAGTAAGTACGCGTTTCCTCTGAAACCAATTCTTTCCAATGTTTCTAATAATAATTTATGATTAACTGTGTCGAAAGCTTTCTTTAGATCAACAAAAAAGCAGATAGAAGGGATTTTGTTATCACACTGGATATTATTGATATTGGTCTATAATTATTAACATCTGTTTTTTTTCTGCCCGATAGTTTTGCACATCATTCTTAGAATACTTCTCTTGCTCTAATGACTTCATCTACTATCTTCAAAAGTGCAGTCGTGGTACTGTGATTCATACGGAAACCGGATTGATTACTCGGTATAATATTGTTTTTATATTTGCTAAAATTCGTTGGTATACGACTTTATTCTAATATATTTGAAGGCACGCATAGATAACTATGCTGTTTGAATTTTACACTCTAGGGAGATGCTTAACTATTGCTAGCTTCCATGCTTCTGGAAAGTAAGTATTTTCGATGCATATATTTATAATAAGCGTTATATTTCAAATTATTGTTGGTAAAAACTGCTTAATCATGGACAGGGTTATTTGATCTACGCCAGGAGCATTTGACTTTAGAGAATATGCTGAAGATTTGACAGAATCATTATCAGCTTGAGAGAACCTAAGAACGCTGTCATAGAAATGATTTTCTTATCATACCAGAATCGATCACTGTAGAGAGCGCATAGCTGATAGATGGCGCTTTGCGCTGCATCATTTCGACAGATCAGACCTCCTGGATAGAGGATAGCTGTGATGCTTTCGTTTATTATCCAAGAGACGAGAGACCAGACCTAGACTATGCCGATGAGTAGCCAAGAAGCACGAAACAGGTGTCCATTGTTGGCATGGTTATTCGGATGGACGAAAGCATCATATCGTTTTCATTATAAACCGAGAAAAAAATACTCACGAAAACCATTCTGCTTTCCAACAACCTAGCAATATCATGATGGGAACCTCTCATTGCAAGATCGCATGGCGTCAGTTTGTCATTATTTTCGATGAATAGTGGAGCCCCATGAGCTAGTAGAAGCTCAACACATCTTTTAAGCCCTGTTTGAGCTGCCCAGTGGAGAGCGGTATTGCCTTCCTGTGATGAAAAACGAGGTTTTAGACGAGTGTAAAGGTAGCGTTATCAGTTTTAAAAAAGGTGGGAGTGCAAAACATAATCATCGTATGAAAGTTACACTCAGACAAGCACCAAATTAGCGGCACATTCACCAACTTTTGAAGTTGTTACATCTATGATGGGACTTTTATTAACTTAGTCTTATTTCTTGTAAAAACAAGCTACGCGCGATGAAGGTATATGGAGCAGTTTTTACATCAGAAGTTCTAAATTCGACTCTCACTATTTGGATCTCGGAAACGATAAGAGATAAGAACTAGGTTAAATGGAAGCAAAAGGTAACTAAGAAAATAGCACAGAAAGTTTCGCTACACTGAATTTTTCCAGAATAGTTTTTATTTTTTCCTGACTATATTTGAGATGGGACTTCAACATGTACATTAACATTGCCATTTTTTTCCTCTACAAGATGGCATACAATTTCAATATAACGTTTCGTTAACTCGCTATTTTTTCTTATAGACGCCAAATTGGATTTTTGCACAGGGCACATTATCAAACCCAAGTTATTTGGAGAAAACCAGCATAGTTGCCTTTGAAAATGACACATGCTTATACCATTAAATCACCAATGCTATAATTTCTGAGAAGCGTGTTTAAATAACATTCAGATAATTTGCCCGTTTACCGACTACAACAAGCATTATATCTGAGAAACATGAAATGTGTTAAGACAGGTGCAACATGTTCCAGGCTTTTACTCACTTGAACATTTTTCTATCAGTTACAAAAAAAAAGTATAAAATAATGCAACAATGAGGAGACAATGTTTTCAATACGAAATAATTATTAATAAAATTAAATAATATGACAACTATAGGAAGATTAGTATTTACGATATTTGAAGTTTTATAATACCAATAGATGTCATAATATATGTACCGTGTCATATCATTAAAATCGGAAGTAGCGCTATTCACCTCTGCCTGACTCGTAAAAACTGAAAGAATATTTGACTGATGATGTAATGAAATAATTGACTGGTAATTTTGAGGCCTACATACGAAATACTGTTTTTCTATAACTACGGCTTGTCTATGTGTATGTACGAGCCCCGTCCCACTTCAGTTGGCCCACTTCAAGATTTGTACCAAAATATGCCTTTATAAACTAAACATGACGAAACTATTTACTTCTAAAACAATTTATTTTCTCAAAAACATTTTAGATACACTCTAGTCGTAAAAAATATATATTTAAAAGCACTTAGACCTATAACTAATAGAACATCTGAACAAATAAACAAAGTGCGAATAAATGCGCGAAGTTAACAAAGATTACCATTGGGGAACATCACCTTTATTTTTTATTACGGCTGAAATTCTTTGGGGCATAGTGTTAACCAAGTTTTGGCAAAAATTTGGTGTAAAACAATCCCATATTTCTTGAAGCTTTTGTCTCAGTTCGGTGATTGTACGAGCAGGATGTTGTCGTAGAACCTTTTTCATCTCGTGCCACAAAGTTTCAAAAGGTGACAGATCTGGACTGATAGAAACCCATTTCCATTTTATAGACTTTTTTAAGGTATGGCACGCTGCACCATCTTGCTGAAACACAAAATCTTGTCTGGATGTCAAACATTCTTCCATCACTGGTAAAAGCGATTCTTCTAAAATTGACAAATATTTGTTTGTATCCACATTTCCATCAATAAAATGAAGTTTTCCTACTCCTTTTGATGACATACTGCCACAGACCATAATGGATGCTGGAAATTTCACTTTTCTTTTCAGACAGTCAACATGGAATGCTTCATTTTTTTTGCGAATAACTCTACTGCGACTGTCACCAACACAAACTTCGAATCGGGCCTCATCACTCCATTGTATTGCACACCATTGTTGAGGTGTCCATTGTTTATGTTCTTTAACCCATCTAAGCCGATTTTTCTTTTGTGGTGGAGTTAATAGTGACTTTTCTTTGGCCTATAAATAAGTTGTGCAGCTTTAGGGTTTTTACTTCACTTTTTTTTTATAAGAAAACTTACATTGCAAGTGCTAGATCCCTGTGTGTGGGCCTCTCAATGAGTTGTGGACCTCGAAATTCTCCTTCCAACAGTTTCACTCCACAGAGCACTTAATTGTAAATAATTGGCACGCCTGTTTTTCACGATTATTCTTTTTAATGCTCTTCGGTCGGCATTTGTGATATTACTTTTATTCACATATCGTGGCTTAATATTAATTGAACCAGTTACGTTACATCTTTATTTCTCACACTGTACCGCGATAACTCTAACAAAGTTGCAATTTCTGAGTTTGATTTCCCAGAATTAAAAAATTTAATTATCAGTAACCGAATTTTCTCACTAATAACTTTTCCTCTACCTATTTTGAAAACGTTAACTACCCAAAACTATTTTAAACGTATTCTGACAGCTGTGATTAATAAAAACAATTGTCATGGCTTTTATTTTTCACAGCCACCGATGCGTTATACACTTATTTTGCATTGAAATAAAAATAGGTGCTGTAATTGCAACATGTGTTATTTTTATGCTGCAAATTTGATTAGGAAGTGATAAAGTTGGTGTTTTCTACTATATATTATCAAAATATTCATTGTTAATATTTTAAACCTATAACACCTTGCTACATTTTTATTATTTGTGTTTGATAAGAAAAATCTAAGATTTCAATAGTTGGGCCAACTGAAGTGGGAAGGGGCTCGTATAGCATACCTTTTTGGGATCAGAATTAAAAACGCTATTCGCCTGTGAAAAAATCTAATAGACTCTGAAAATTGGGAGTGCAACTACCTATACAAAGCGCGATGTGATATCATCTTCAATGCGTTATGATGACCTGCCTGCTTTAGCAGTTATCCTTTAGAACAGCTATGTCAAGCTCAAAGTCTCTGGTGGGCCAAAAGCTAGATGGGCCGCAAAATCTATAATCTTAAAGAAGACAAGTTGCTGCAGATTTTAACAAAAAATGTACTACTATAAGACAACTATTTAAGGCTAACAGTGGAGTTTTCTTGTTTTTACAGTAACCTGATGATATCTTAAATAGATTTAATCATGCTGCTACTGCTATTTCATGGGATATACAGGGTGTAAACGTTATGGTAGTCATTATTGAAATGGGTAATAGGGGGGGGGGTCAAAACAAGTCAAAAAGTTCATATGACCCATGGTCCAAAAGTCGATAGATTGTTGTCTAAGTGGCTTTATAGTTTACAACTTTAAGTGCTTTATATCGACCACAATCACCACAATCATACTAATTTTTATAATCTAATCTAAAACGTTTTTAAATTGGGTAATTAACAAATAAATGGCATTAAGTTTTTCTAAGTTAAGCCAAAACAAATTTGTAGTCAGTAAGTAAGTTTCATTAAATTGAATATTTAAAACACACAGGACAACAGTGCATCGGTCATCATCACTCTTATCAAACCAGCAATCGATCGCAAACGGTAACAGTGGTTAGTTTTAGTTGTTTTGTTTTTGTTCACGTACGTCGTCGTTTTGATTTACAATGTTCTTGAATCAAGAGTTCGCCGACATGTTGTTAGTTTACGGTGAAGCTCGTCAGAATTCAAATCTTGCAGCTCAAATGTAGTGCGACAGATTTCGCCAACGGGTACACCCAGACAGAAGGACATTTGTGCAAGTGTACCAAAGACTTCGAGATACTGGAAGTGTTTAGCCCACTAATATTCGCACTCGTGAAAGACAGGCAACTGTAGAGCAGGACGAACAAATTTTAAATATCGTGGAAATCAATGCAGATATCAGCACTCGGGAATTAGGCCGCCGCGTAGGATTATCGCATACCATAGTCAATAGAATCCTACGGGAAAATTTGCTTTATCCCTACCATGTATAACGAGTGCAGGCCTTGTTACCAGAAGACTATCCTCGCAGACTAACATTCTGTCAGTGGTTTTTGCACCAAAACATTGAAAATCCGGACTTTTTTTAAAATATTCTAGCGACGGACGAATGTACTTTTACGAGAGACGCGATCAAAATTGTGTTCCCTATTTATAAGTGGATTTTTTAATACATTCAATAAACTTTCACACACCAGGTGAAGTGCTGAGACAGTTAGTGGTAAGTCCGTTTTTTTAATTGTTTGCATTTTACGAGTACATTATCAAATAATGAAATAATACCTAAGAGCCAAAAATAACAAACTTTAGTTGCACTGCGTTCCGTCGTAATTTGCGTCTGGCATTGTGGCGTTGTCAGATTTTATTTTACTTTAAAGTCGTTTTTCTATAAAAAAATGCCGTTTTGACCCCCATGTTTTTTTTTATTCAAACTAAGTTTATTCAAATTCAAATTCAAATTCAAATTCAAAAACCAATATAACTTAGAAATTAAAAACAACCTTCAGTACAATTTAAATAAAAAAAGCTTCAAAAATACATGAGCTTGTATACTCTTGCTACCCTGAATAACCAAGATTGCAACAGAAATCTGAGCAAAGATACTAGCATCAGATCTAGATCCAGCAAGTAACGGTATATGAATTGTGAAAATTCTGTATACTTTCGTAAAGGGTAAATGTCTGAAACTTGTCGTCACAAATCCTAAATTTCGTCTCTGCATAAACAAATCTAAAATTCATAACAATAGTACAGAAGCATACTAAAAACACTCAGAAGTATAAATATAGAGTACATAAAATATGAATATCTGAAATATGATAATATAGGGATATTTCGAGTAAGGTCAAACTATGTTGTTTAAACAATACAAATTTTGCGTAAAGGTTAAGCAGAGAAACAAGAGTACTATAATTTACTACAAAAGAATTTACTACAAAAGAATTTACTACAAAAGAATAGACACCTAAGCTATAAGCTTGTGTGTGTCATACAATATAAATTCAATGCATGGCTAATGGTCATAAGGTATATTATGAGCAAATTAATGTATATAAAAAAAAGAAATAAAAAAACATTAGATAGAAACGAAATTACTGAGTTGAGTCAAGCTACCGTCGATGCAAGCATGTCAAAGTTATTTAAGATGAGCTTCTTAATTCTTTTTTTGAAACTATACTTCGAGAGGATTTTATATTCTAGGGGTAATTTATCATACAACCTAATAAATAAATCAAACTTTATGCATTTTTGGCAAACAGATTTATTCACTCTGGTATAGGTGTTACTTATATTTATTTCAGTTCTTGTTTCATAAGTGTGACTGGTTGGAACATTGTTTCGGGAGTGAAAAAATTTTAGAGCAGCAAAAATATATAAACCTTTAACATTTAAAAGATTATTTTCAATGTAAGCAAATCTGCAACTTGACCTACATGGGATACGAAAAATAGTCCTGACAATATAATTTTACGTGGTTTGTAGTATTTTTAAAGTACTAGTGTATGCGGCTCCCCAAATACTTTTCCCGTAAGTTAGTAGAGACCCCCCATTTTAAATTACTGTCAATAGTGATTCCTAAGTATCTAATAACTTCAACTCTTTCGACAGTGTCAGCACTATCATTTATAATTAATGTTCGGTGGTATAATGACATGCCTGCTTTGGTTGGAGAAAACGTTACATACTTAGCTTTAGAGATATTAAGTTTAAGTAAATTGTTATCCAACCAGTATTTGACTTTATTTAATGACAACTCGGCATTCCGTATTGCGTCATCCCATGAATGACCAGTGCAAAATAAAACAGTATCGTCTGCATATGATATCATTTTACAGTTGAAATTACATCGAAGTAGTTCATTTATGTATATGAGGAACAGTGTTGGTCCCAAAACCGTCCCCTGAGGCACACCTATTTTGATCTTTTGAATGTTGCTTAAATCTGACCCTACCTTAACTTGTTGTAATCGATCAGCCAAATAGTTCTCAAATAAGTTCAGAACTCCGCTACGCACTCCAACACTTTCTAGTTTCTTTAATAAAATTATATGAGATACTGAATCGAAAGCCTTTTGAAGATCTAGGAAAACTGCAACAGTCTTATTTCCATCTTGAAAATTTTCAAGCACTTGTCCTGTAAGTTCTTGTAGATATTGCTCTGTATTGCAATTTTTGCGGAACCCAAATTGACAGTTCGATATTATGTCATATTTCTCAAGAAAAGAACAAAGTCTGTTATTCAAACACTTCTCAAAAACCTTCCCAAATACATTGATAACTGAAATAGGTCTATAATTGAACATATTGTCTTTACTTCCAGATTTAATGTTATATGAAACTTTTTGCTTCTTTTAACCCCCTCTATCACCCATTTAAATAATGACTATCATAACTTTTACACCCTGTATATCATTACAAAAAACCTTTTTGAAATGTGAAAATATTGCGCTCTAAGCTAATACATCCTAACAATCATCAAGGGAGGAGCCCCCCTGCGGCCGCTGTAGCGCCTGGATCGGAGTAATGCCTAAATGCCTATGTATTTTAATCATGAGGACCAGAGAAGAAATGACAATGTTAATGTATTTTCAAATCCCATCTCAAATAACGACAGGGAAAAATAAAAACGGTTTTGAGAAAACTCGGTTTCTTTCGTCTGTCTCCGGAAATCCTTGGAATTGCGAAACTTTCTAAGGAATATTTTTATACTACTTAAATGCGCAACTTTGCCTCCATTTGAGCAACTTCGTTCTTCTTATTGATGGTGCGAATTGAACTTGAAACACCCGGTATCGTATTGTAAGTGAATGATCTACGAAAAACGCAAATTTGTGTTTGGGTAGGGATATTAGGTCGCTAGTTCTTACTTTATCCTGAGCTCCCACATCAACTCTTTCCCTCCTTCCAGTCGTAAGATCAATAGCAGGTCCTTTCCAAGCCAAGAGCAGATGAGCACAAGCTGCTCTTCTGTCTTGAGCTCCATATCCTCTTCTGGATCTTTCATCATCCAGCTTACAGGCTGCGTGTAGAGCTGTTTCGTTGGCTGCATTTTTCTTGTTCGGATCACCCCCGAGGTCTGTTAGAAAAGTTCGCAAGAGATGCTTCATGCCTGAAACAATTTCATGTAAAAACAGTTGACGTCACAATCAGAGAATTTATACACTTGTGCGCAAATTCAGCGTCTCAATATTTTGAATGTCTTTTCCGACATTACGAGCTACAAGTATGAAGCAAATTTCGACTGCCTTCTCTATTCTCTAACCAACCACATATGTATAAATCGCTGCTTCAGTCTAGGATACATTAGTGTGTCTTATTTCGCAGTGGACAAGTAAAAACAGTACATCTATCTGATGATGTTAATATTAATGGGTGACATTGTATACTAAGTGACATATAAATCCGAACACCCAGTTTAAATGGTTTTATTTTAATAAAAGTTGGTGGATGTATTTATCTTACTGTAAATAACAAGTGAACAAATTTTCAGCCTTATCAGTTGGACATTCCGGTTTTTATACTGCTTTTTTTTAATTCACTAACGCTCTAAAAACGAATATTTCAGCCGCAGTAAAGAATCAACGTTGGCGGATTGTGGTTTTTGACATCCTTTACGATCGGTTACGATGCCTAGAGTACGGAGACCTGTACGATTTCGTCAACTTTGTAAGTTTGATAGGGGCCGTATAGTGGGACTTCGGGAAGCTGGACTTTCTTTTCGGGCAATTGCAGTTAGAGTGCAAAGAAGTGTAGACACTGTGGTTAGGTGTTGTCAGGCATGGCTTCTAGAAGGCCGTACGCAAAGAGCAAGGGGCACTAGACGCCGCCATAGAACAACAGACCGTGAAGATCGCCGCCTAATATTATTGGCCTTAAGGGACCGTTTCTCCACTACCAGGTCCATTGCAAATGAATGGTTTACAGAACACGGAAGACCTATTGGCATGCGAAGTGTTTACCGACGAATGAGAAGTTTTGGCTTGTTTTCATACCGGCCACTCTGGGTCCTCCCTTTAACTCGAGAACACCGACGTGATCGCCTTGAGTGGTGCAGACAACGGTCACTCTGGGATCAAGAATGGAACAGTATTGTCTTTAGTGACGAGTCTCGATTTCGTTTAGGCATGCACGATGGTCGTGCCAGGGTTAGAAGGCGACGTGGTGAAAGGAGGTTTCCACAGTTTTTTGTTGAAAGACATGTTCATCACACTGTTGGAGTTATGGTTTGGGGTGCTAGGGCTTATGGTTCCTGGTCACCTTTAATCTTCATCAGAGGTGACATGAACGCGCAGCGTTATATCCACGAAGTTCTTGAACCCCATCTTTTACCCTATCTTGACACCCTGGCAGATCCAACTTTCCAACAAGATAATGCCCGACCACATATTGCAAGAGTCACAATAGACTTCTTTCAACATAATGATGTCACATTGTTACCATGGCCACCAAGATCTCCCGACTTATCCCCAATTGAGCACGTGTGGGATGATGGGTAGGAGATTTCTCAATTTGCAACGTCCTTCTCAGACTCTAGAAGCGCTTCGAGAGGAGTTGGTGGTTGCCTGGAATGAGATACCATAGAATGACATTGACCACCTGATCAGAAGCATGCCTAGGCGCGTCGTAGCACATCAGGGTGCATCCAAACATTATTAAAGGTCAAAGGGCTTTAAAGTAGTGCAATCATTTTGAAATTTTTATCATTTAATTATTATGCTTCATTAAGTACTTATACAAAATTTTATTAAAATAAAACCATTTAAACTGGGTGTTCGGATTTATATGTCACTTAGTATAGCTTGACTGGCGAAGATTATATCCAAGGATTTAAACCACTTTGGGATATTTAATTGATTTATAAGAGTGTTTCAAATTTGACGCTCACCATTGGGATATCGGAAACTGTAGGAGATACGAAGTCACTTAAATGGGAGCTAAGTCGCGTATTCAGGTAACCAACAAAATGCTGCTTAGAAAGTTTCGTAATCCAAAGTGCTTCAGGAGAGAGTCGGTAAAAACGAATTTTCCGAACACCTTTTTATGTTCTCCTGGCTTTATTTGTAATGGTATTTCAAAATAAATTACACACTGACATTGCCACTTTTTCTCCCCTACAAGATGGAATAATCAGAATTTCAATACGACGTTTCATCTCTTGTCACGCCATATTGAATTTTTGCACAGATGACTAGAGTTTTAAATTTTGATTCCAAAAGTGTATAATACATATATTGACATTGCCAAAACTCAGTTTTTGTAAGCACAGCAGAATTTCCTTGGTAGGCCTTGAAATTATCAATTATTTGTTTCGCGTACCAGACCTATCCCAAAATCACCTTTATTTTTTCCTGACTTTATTTGAGACGAGGTTTCAAAATTAAATGCTTGTTAACATTGCCATTTTTTCTCCTGTACTAGCATGGCATAATTAGAATTTCATTATGACGTTTCGTCTCTAGCCCTCCAGCATTTAGTTTATTTTTTCTTATGGACGCCATATCATGGACATTACAGTTTCTGAGATTAAGCAGCAGCGGTGGCCACAGTTGTAGACTCTTCGGTCTCCTGATCAGTCGCTGTGCGCTGTGCGGGGTTAAATCCCGTCCCAGGAGAAATTTTTCTCTTGCTATGGATGTTGTGTTTGTCCGTAGGTGGTAGACGGTTTTTGACTGTCAAACGCGGAGGTACCACCCGGCGTGTGGCGTTCCCTCTTCCCCCTGTATCCCCCTATAGCACCACGGTACCTAATGGGTGCTTAGGCCTTCGGACATCGTGGCAGTTGGAGTATAAAAAAATATCGCAGATTAAAGGAGTGGTTACTTCTGATTTCGAAAATGTGTAACATGTTGACACTGTTAAGCTTCAGCTATTCCAGAAAAAGAGAAGTTTCTAGGTAGGCCTTGAAATTATACCAGACTAGACCTTACATTGAACACAACAACAGAGTTTTAACAACTGAGAAGAAGAGAAATAAATCGAGCTATGAACAAAGTACTGAGAAGAGTCAGACTGTGCCTATAAAATAACGGACGACATTTTGAACATCTGCTATGATTGATGATGACCTCTGCTTATTTATGATTATTTTGACTATTATCATCAATAAAATTTTGATTTTGTGTTCAGGTTTTACCATACGTTTTTATTTCCTTATAATGTTTATCCAGCAACTAATTTATGGCCAACTAAACAAATGCACCACTCAAAAGCCCAATCAGATGTACAAAATTCCAATAAATCGACTATATGATAAAACAAATTTGGTGATCTGAACCAAAAGACGAAATATCGAATTGAAAATTTGACTACACCATCTTGCAGAGGAGAATAAGCAAAAATGTCATCATTCAATTTATCCATCTCCCCATTCTCAAATAAGGTCAGGATAAAGTGAAAGTGATTTTTGGATAAATCTGGTATGCAAAACAAATTACTCTGAAAATTTCACGGCCTACCTAGGAAATTCGGTTTTTTTAAATAACTAAAGTTTAGCAATGTCGATGTACGACGTACTATACATATTTTGTATCAGAATTAATAACTCTGTTGATGTGTGCAAAAATCCAATATGGCGTCCATAAGAAAAAATTAAGTTGATGCTGTGGGACAAATGACGATGCCTCATATTATAATTCGAATTATGCCGTCTTATAGAGGCGATGAAGTGACAAAGTAAACGTGCAGTTTATTTTGGAATCCCAATACAAATAAAATCAGAAAACAATTAAAACTTTTACTGGAATATTCGGTTTTTTCCGTCTCTCCCAGGAAGTACTTTGAATTTCGAAATTTTTTAAGTAACATTTTGTTAATTATCTCAAAATGCAACTTTGCTCTTATTTAAGCGTCTTCGTATCTCTTACAGTTTCTGAGATTCCAATGTTGAGGGTGATTTCGAAACACACTGTATTAGGAGGTACAAAAAGTTAAAGATGGGTTCAGTAATTTCCCGTTTCTATGATTCAGGGTGACTTATGTTTAGCGAAAAAGTTTATGAAATTGGATTTGCCGAAATAAGTGATAAGTGCCGTTTTGCTTTGATTTTGCTTGGAAAGCGTTTTTTGGAGTTGCTGGGCCAGTGATGCACCACCAGCGAGGATAGCATCACCACTAGTAGTACCAGCGGGACCAACACCATATATCTAATAATACCGTTTTTCCTATGGTCCACAAATTTTCCTAGGCTCAAGTTCCCCGAACACTAGTAACAGTAACATGTCATTATTGCAACATTAACCTTACAAAATAGCATAAAAAGTGTGATGAAAATGGTGGAGTCTAGCTACCGGCCAATCTGTTAAACCAATATTTTAAAATGACATAAAAAAGATTAAGTATATACAGGGTGTTTCAGTTTATTGTTGCATAACTTTAAGATTCGATAGAACTTTTAAAATGAATGCATAAAGTCTATATAAACATGGGGCGAAAAATGCGTGGCTTCCGAAATACAGGGTGTGTAAATTTACTTTCTAAAATAGTTTTTTTTAAATATTTCGAACAATATTTGATATATAACAGTCAAAATTGGTATACAAGGGTTTTTTGGTACGACAAAACGAACCATGGGCATAGTTTTATGGTAGCCGCTAGAGGGCGGTCTCTACTGTACCTGTAGTGTATTAAAATGATGGAAAATTTTTTCTTAGTGCAATTTTTTGCTTTTTGAGTAAAAAAACTGATTCTTCGCACTTTTCAACATAAAAAAGCTCTTCTGTGAGTTTTCGTTATAGTTAGCCGTTTTTGAGATATTTCGATTTTTATGGTTCGATGCATTTTTAATTATTTATGGGAAAATAATATTTTTTTTTTACATTTTCGATTTGGGCATTACAAGTAATTGAGATGATCGTTTAGACTGTGTTTTTAAACGCAGCAATAATTACTAACTCCAAATAAACACAAAAAAACAGAATATTAATTTGTTTAATTTTCCAATATTATTTTTAACAAATTAAATTAATTATTTACAACTAAAATCCTATTGGATAGTTAGGACAAACATACAAAATCTAAAGTAGTTGCTCGAAATGTAAACCCAATTGTTCAATACACAATTCACATCTACGAATAATCGAGCATTATTTAAAAAAGGCCTTATTTCATCACATGCATTCCTGATTCTGTCTATTAGCATATATCTTGTGGTTACGGGAGTCTGGTACACTTTTTCTTTTAAAAATCCCCACACAAAGAAATCTAATGGATTTAGGTCAGGGGATCGTGGAGGCCAGGCGACTGGTCCTCCACGGCCGATCCATCTTTCTGGATAATTTTCGTCCAGTCGGTTTCTAACTATTTTCGAATAATCAGCTGGACAACCATCAAGCTGGAACCAGGCGGTAGATACCAATCCACACGTTCACACTCAATTCATGCTGAAAATTTCTTTCCCGAATTGCATGCGGATTTTCAGGCGACCAAATATGTTGATTATGAAAATTTACCACTCCACGTCTAGTGAAGCATGACTCATCGGTTCATAAAACGTTACTTAAAAACTCCCTATTATTATCAGTTCTATCAAGAATCCACTGACAAAATGTGATTCTTCGTTCTCCGTCCCCTGGCTGTAGTCCTTGCACAGGTTGCAAATGGTAAGGACGTCTATGGTCATTTCTAAGAACACGGTGAACATGGCTTGCTGAAATTCCCAAGGCACCAGAAACTCTCCTAACACTTGTGGTCGGATCTCTATCAAACTCACGCAGAATCATACGGGTAAATCTGCGCTGACGAGCATTTGTGTTTTGATCCCTTTGGAGATTTCCAAAACCATTTTCAATTATTTGGCGATGCACTCTTACAAATACTGAGCGAGTTGGATGTCGTCTGTTTGGAAATCTTCGCGCGTATTCTCTGGCTGCTTCTGCTGCGTTTCCATTTACAAAGCCATACACAAAATGAATATCCGCTAACTCTTGATTGGAGAATAAAAATGGCATTTTTATAAAACTTACAAAAAAAAACAGGTAAAAGAAACTAAATTTCGTGCACTCACAATTGCAAAAAAACGTTTCAGGTTTCAACAGACAACAAAACTAACTGTCAACTAATTGACGTTTAACCTTATTCTGCTTTCAATTTCAAAAATATTTGCAGACACAGCCTACTTCTAAAAATTATCGAGATACTGACTTTTTAACGTTATTTTATCATAAATAGTTAAAAATGCATCGAACCTTAAAAATCGAAATATCTCAAAAACGGCTAACTATAACGAAAATTCACAAGAGAGCTTTTTTATGATGAAAAGTGCGAAGAACCATTTTTTTATTCAAAAAGCAAAAAATTGCACTAATAAAAAATTTTCGGTCATTTTAATACACTACAGGTACAGTAGAGAGCGCCCTCTAGCGGCTACAGTAAAACCCATGGTTCGTTTTGTCGTACCAAAAAACCCTTGTATACCAATTTTCACTGTTATACATCAAATATTGTTCGAAATATTTAAAAAAAAACTATTTTAGAAACTAAATTTAAACACCCTGTATTTCGGAAGCCACGCATTTTTCGACCCACGTTTATATAGACTTTATCCATTAATTTTGAAAGTTCTATCGAATCTTAAAGTTATGCAACAATGTACTGAAATACCCTGTACAATAATAGTATATACTATGAACATGTCTGTTACTGTATATGTAATAGAATATTTAAGGTGTTAAATGCTTCTAAAATTTCGTACATAAAATGTAATCAACAAAGGCTTAGTGCTACCAAAATTTCTGTTAGAGTGTGTTGAAAATATATTGTTTTATACCCTATTCGTAGTTCATTTACGCCTCGGCACAACAAAGATGTTGCGAGGCAAAGCGGCAACCGCTTAAGCGTTGCAATAGCTATAGGTCATTAGGCCGTAAAAACTACGAACAAGTGCATTATTTGACAGAATAGAACCCAGGCTCGGGGTATCGCCGACATGCCGACGTCGGCAGTTGCTGTTCATATTCGTTGCATACATAGCGTGCGTTTATACGTTAGCATGTCGTCTACGGATATAGCAGATGAAACTGAGAATATTTCTCCCAATGCTCCCTCTTCAGTGGTATCTCCTCCCCGAAAACTTGACAAGAAGGGATATTCGAATATTCAGGCAAAAGAAATTGTCCTTAACGTTTATAAAAGCGAAATTTTAGAGTATCCTGAAATTATACAGGGTGGCGCATCGAAAACGAAACAGACGCATTTACTGACAGCTCAATTTTTTTTTGGGAAAATGCTCAGACCCGTCGATTTTGTTTTCGAGGGGGACACAAGTTTGGCAAAAAATCACGTTAACACGTGCAGCTCCCTGGGCGGGGGCGACATCAACCCTAAAATCTTAAATGCAAAGGGGGGTCGAGTGATACCTTATTTTAAAAGTCTTTCAATTCCCTTTATAATGATATAAAATTAATGTACTTCAGTTCAGTAATTTTCAAGATTTATTGATTTAAAGCTTAAAAAAAACTAATACGTCATCATTAGTGGAGATCAATACACTTGGCAGCAAAGTAATTTAAAAATGAAGAATGAACTGACCCGTTATGCAAGAAAATGTTGAAAATGGCCACCATGACTCTCCATGCAATAATAAAGATTTTGCTCAAAACGTTGTCGCACATTTTGTAATATTTGAGGAGTAATTTGAAGGCACTCATTCACAATTCTTTGTCGCAGGTCTTCTAATGATGTTGGCTGAGTAGCATAGATTTTGCTTTTTAAATGACCCCACATAAAGAAGTCCAAAGGTTATAAATCTGTCGATCTTGGGGGCTATTCAATGGCACCTCTTCTACCAATCCATCGATCTGGAAACGCCTGATCTAAATATTGTCGGACACGTAATGCGTAATGTGGTGGGGCACTATCCTGTTGGAACACGCAATGTACCGCCGATCATCATGATTTTCAATTACGGCTGTTAGTGCAGGATCTATGGCGTCTTCCAGTAATTCCAAATACATTTCACCGGTCAAATTTCAAGGTAAGAAAAAAGGACCAACTAAATGATCGCCAAAAATACCAGCCCAAACATTTAATTTTTGTGGCTGCTGTGTATGAACCTCATGATAAATTCTGGGATTAGAATCGGACCAATATCGGCAGTTATGACGATTTACTACGCCATTTAAGAAAAAGGAACATTCGTCGGAAAAGCAAGTGTTAAATAGAAAATGTTCATCGTTTATAATTCGTTCACTCATATCTTCACAAAATTGTAATCGCCGATCAAAATCGTCTTCATTAAGTTGTTGTACCAGGTGAATTTTATACGGATGTAAACTAAGGGCCTTTAGAATCCGTTGGACAGTACGTCGACTAACACCACACACAGTCTCCAATTTGCGGGTACTTAACGTAGAATCTACATAAACTTGCCCTAAAACCCCCACTTCTATTGCTTCGTTCCTTATTGGATTTTCAATGTTCCGTTTTTTATTGGCGACCGACCCAGTTTCCCGAAATTTAGCTACAATAATAATAACGTATTTCTGCTGTTCTATTAGCGCGCTGATTATTTCCGAAAAGTATTTCGATAATTTCCACTCTTTCTGCCTGCATATACCATGGTTAATTTATGTAATAAAGCGTTACAAGTTATTTTAGCAACAAAGTTTGGTCAAATAACTAATAAACAAACCATGAGCCTAGTGAAGAAACTTATTCTTTTAGTCAAATTTCTTCTGAATGTACCTATTAAAGTCTACTTTAAGCTTGAAATCAATAAATCTTCAAAACTACTGAACTGAAGCTCATGCATTTCACATCATTATAAAGGGAATTGAAAGACCTTTAAAATAAGGTATCACTCGACCCCCCTTTCCATTTAAGATTTTAGGGTTGGTGTCACCCCCGCCCAGGGGGCTGCACGTATTAACGTGATTTTTTGCCAACCTTGTGTCCCCCTCGAAAACAAAATCGACGGGTCTGAGCGTTTTTCCAAAAAAAAAACTGACCTGCCAGTAAATGATGAAGACTTACCTACTTTCAAAAGGACCACATTCTATAGTTTACTCGAAGAACTTTTGAGTAAAGAAACCGGGGCAGAAATAGTATTTTGATGGACAGTCAAGTGATTATTTTATGGATAAGAAATTATTTAAAACCAAGATATATCGCGACCAGTGCAGGAAGATTCATTACTTGGATGAAACCTGAAAAAATGCAGCGCATACAAAACCTAAAGTATGGGCTGACTCTACAATTAAATCAGCAAGACAAGTCTTCCTAGATGGACTTACCACTGGCCTAAAGAATCCGTCAGGTACGTGTATCCAACCAATTCGTCATTTGTGTTGTAAAAATGGTAGACTGAATCTACGAGCCCACGCTGAAAACAATAGCTACACTAAGCTCAGCTATATCTGGTAGATTTGAAACCAACACCTGTCAGATACTCTGCTTGTATTATTATTTAGTTTTCTTGAATACTATATGAAATATTATTTCCATGAATAAATGGACGAGAGTTCGTTTAAAATATGGTATGAAGAAATGCTCCCAAAGCTTGACGACAATACCGTCTTTGTACTTGATAATGCTGCATACCACTCTAGTAAACTCGAAAAAATTCCCACAATGTCGACAAGAAAGGTAGAAATTCTGTCATCAGAGTGACGGCAAACCATTGGAAAGATTGCATTGTCACGTTCAAGAGACAATCGAAACAAAGATGTGAGATCTGGACAATTAGATCATTATTCAAACTAAACCTGTAATAATTAATATTAGCTATTCGGACGATGATTCAAGTACTTCTAGCAAATAAAGAATTGTGAAAAGTATGTGCACTTCTTTGTATAAAAATTATCATGTACCTATTTTGTTAGATTAATCAAAGATGATCGAGGAAAATACGGACCAGTACAATCTCGCTTTTGGGCATGTTGTGTTTTGTCTGGGCGTAAATGGACTACGAATGGGGTACTATTATGATGATTTGCCTTATAACATTGAGCGGCGTTATATGAGTAAGAGCGCTGAAACATGGATGTGTGATGTCTTGGTATGGATGATGTGCCCGTATAACGTATTTAAATCATGAATTCTTGTTTTGAATATTACCTTGTTCCTGACAACATTATGCTTACCGTGCTTAGCAGCATAGTGAAGGGCAGTATTGTGCTGATGACTGTCTCCATAACTTAAGTTCGGATCTAAATTTTTCCTCAATTCTGGAGAGCTTTGATATATTTGCATGGCCGCAAATTCGTCACCATGCTGAAGGTACTTCTTGAACTTCGAGGACGCGCTACCCATTATTCTCCTAATCAAAAGCTTGAAGCACTTCCACCACCTGTTACTGCGATGCTATTTCAATTGTTAATTTCTCTGTCATGAAACATTTTCAGCAGATGGTGCTTGAGCTGTTCGTATGTTCTGTGAAAAAAATATTTATTCAAGCATATCGTACCGATTTTATATATTTTTCTCACAAAGTGGTTCATTCTTACACAATAAAGACTTCTTGGGTGTCTTGAGTTTTTCAGAGATGGATCATTAGCCAGCACAAGTTAATGAAGAAATTAATGACACGACCCAGCAGAGATTGCCTTACATTAGCAGTAGAAAAACGGTGCTCTCATGAAGTGAATTCATGTATCAAGTGTGCTAAGGATGCTTCCGTAGCCCGCAGTGTTCAGGCGAAGTGCCAGTAACAAATCAAAGGCGAGCTCTGGATATAGATAACAAATTTGTCGCTAGGACTGCTGAGGAATTTTCTAGCGAATGAGCAGCCAGACGTGTCACCCAACATATACCAAGTGACAGAAAAAACAACAACCAGTAATAATGTAAATTATATCCATTATTATAACATGTTCTTAATTCTGTTAGTTAGTATATTTTTCAAGATTTGGTTGGAATGTTCTTTCAGCTGATTATCTTTGAATAATAATCGACTTTTCATACAGTCAACAGGTAACTAATTAAGGCACTTACAAGTGCCAAATCGGAACCTAGTCCTGTTCTAGCGTTTTGTCTGATAATTTCCTTTGCAGCTGGGTCAAGTGAGATACATGTTTTAACCAGATCTACTTAATCTGATAGCTATAAATCATAAAATGCCATAAATGTAATACTGTACTGTAGCAGTTTGTTCTTAACTGGCTCTTTAAGCATCTGCCACGCAAAAGTACTACCAATAGCACTATCTTTGAATCATGTGTCCTTCGCTACACCCTACGGTCGGTACAATAAAATAATCTATTAGCTAAAGTATGAATATATGTCCAGTATTTTTGATAATGTACTGTCACTTTGTTCTACCCACAGCCAGATATTGTTAATTGCAAAAATAATGAAAATGTTCAAGGATTAGTAACAGTCTTACAATTTCGTGCTATTCTGTGTATATTTTCACTTACCAAATAGTTTGTTCCTTTATAATTCGGCATTTTTTCCAGATTTCATTGAACAGACTGTATGATACGTTGACATTTTCAAGGAAGTTGTTGCTTTGAGCATGACTGGGAGTACAGAGTTGAAAGTCGGGGGAGTTTTTACAGTGTTGTCACGATTTTGCTCACGACATTCCTAAGTCTTCCAACTCTGAAGATGAGCGAGAAGGTAAGACTCGTAAGGAATATCATAAGGGCATCTAATTTTTCCGAAAAAATCGAAAAAACACGTTGCCAAGTAATATTTTAACAAGAAGCATGAGTGCTGGTGGCAACAAAAATCCGAGTCGAAGACGAGGATGTTTTCACCTGCACGAATGTTTTTTGTTAAATAGTTATTTATTATACAGGGGAAAAAGTACTAAAATCTAATATTTTCCCGTGTATAATACACAATATTTTGCTGTGACGGAGAAAACGACGATTTAATATTGAAAAATTATATTATTACAATATTTGAGTCAGAAATTTATCGGTGTGAAATTTGAATTTTAAAATTAGTAGGCTATGTTGTACTTATAGCGACAATAAGACCTGCGTTGCTAAGGAAACTTTTAAAGTAATCAAATAGCTGTCAAATTAATTTTGTGACTTGATTTGAAAATTGCGAGCTTAGTGGTTGTTTAGAAGTATTTTTAATGCTATAAAGTAAAAAATGTCTGATTTCGAGTTTTCTTAGACTTTACCGGAATTAGTACAAGTAGCCAAAGTAGCGTCACAAAAATTATTGCCAGCTAAATCGATTATACAATTTCCGGGAAAAAAGTACTCACTTTTTTCCCGGTGAAAAAGGTAATTTCATAAGAAGTGACATTTTGTTGCCTGTCAACAGAGACTATTTCATGAGTAAGGGATTATTCTGTATCTGATGTCCTAGGAGACCATAATTACTTGTTATCAAACGTATTGTAAAAAACTGCTGACAGGTGGTGTCATACAATTTTTCCATCTAAAAACCATTTGTAATTCAAAATTGCGCGTTTGTGATTGGTAGAAATTAAGACGAAGGAAATAGTCACAGCAAAACCTCACTTCATTCGATATTACGAGATCAATACATGTTCTGAAGGGTTTAGAACCAGAAATGCGATATTTTAACGGCTCTTTGAATTCATTATGCTTTTGACGTGTGGATCTGTATGTATCTGTGTAACCAATATATTCTATTTCACGGATTAGATCCCAAACGGCTTGATGAATTTTGACATATGAAGTGTTGTTGGATTCGACTCAGCAGTGCGAGTGGCGCTGGCTATACTGAAATTTTATAAAAATGGGATGGCGGATTTTAATAAAATAATCAAACTTGAAATTGTTATTCAACGAGCTACAGCTTGAGCGACTTGATGGATTTTGATATATGAGATACCTCAAGATTTGTCTTGACAGAGGGAGTGACAATGGGTATACTAAAATTCCATAAAATCAAAATGGCGGATTAAAAACTTCAACTTTTTCTATTTTACGGGCTACAGTCCAAACGGCTTGGTGAATTCTGACATTTGAGGTGTCCTCAGATTCGTCTCAATAGTACAGTCAAAAATCCATTTTTTCAGTTACTGCAGTCAGGCTTCGTATATTTTTTAAAAATTTACTTTGTAGACCTCAACACGAATGTCACTATCCATTTTTCTATACTTAGTTTCTAACCCACCACAGCTTTTCTGTGTACAGGAAATATTTAAGATGCTTTTTTGCATGTCTCCGTGCGTTTAAGTATAGAATTATTTGTGAATTGTTACGAAAATACATAATTTTTAGCATCACTATATACAAACTGTCACCACTTTTCTACAGTCAAACCATTCTATATGACAACGTCGCAATATCTGGACCCAGTTATCGATCTGGCAAAGATGCGCGTGAGTGATAAAGGCGCGTGATTTGAGATCGTGGACCGTGGTTATGCTGAGAGATGTAACTTAATGTTTTATCATTGGTTAACGTATACTACCTGTTACTTATGCAGTTTATTTACGTATAAGTATGTTAGTTTTAGTTACATTCGTACAATATGAGAATAAACTTATTATTATTATTTTCGTTTCTCTCTTTACTACTAATACTTTGAAAAGGTTAGTGTCTCATCGATGGCGCTGCCTTTAAACTCATATTCGCACTCATATAATTCATAAATCATCTATGAGACAATTACCTTTTCAAAGTGTACATAGTAAATAGAGAAATAGCTTTACCAGATTCTCATAGACGAAGCTGCAGGTACTAATTTTATCTCGGATCATTTTTGGACGCGGGACATGAAGACTAGAGATAGGAGGTGAAACTGAAGGAGTTGAGGTGAAGTCAAAGATGTCGACCATTAATTCTGTTGGTACCCATTGCTCACATATTTGGGGTGCTTGACGTGTAACCCTTATGCAGCTCAACCTCTTATCTTCGTAACCCGGGAATATAACATTAGGTTGGCTATATTTAGGTGGAATACTTTAATCAATGGTCTTATCTTGGTTTTCACCGCTAAATCTGATGTTCTGAATATTGTACACCGAAGCGAGTGAGATGCTGTCCGAGGATTTAAATAGTATAATGTGTTTGGTAGCTATAATAAACATAGCTTATGTACTCGTGTTAACGCTAGAAAGTCGGCTATCATAACTATTCAATCTAAATTCAGCAAATTTAATAGTGAATCAATAAAGCTGTGTATTGGAAGTGATGAACTTTGCCACAAGATATCGGTTCGCACCTTGATGAGAACCTGCGCTTCCATGATGATGTTACCAAAGCTGTTCAGGGTTCCTATGCTACGTTGAAATCAATTTATAGCTATAAGAATGTCTATGGTCCATATGTCTAATACAGAGCCAATAATACAGACTGAAAAAAGTACAAAATAGCTCCATAATATTTAGTTTAGGTATTCAAAGGCGGGGATGGGTGTATCTGATCATATAAAAAATATTCACTGGCTTACCATGCGACAAAGGTGGATACTGCATCTATTATCTTTGATTCACAGTATTTTGATGAATAAAATGCATATTTATTTGGAGAACAAGCTTATCATGAGATGTGATCATCACTCAGCGAATCTGCGTTTTGTGGGATATACTCTTGACTTTCCTCGGCATCGAACAACCCAATTAAGAAAGAGCTTTTCATGTGGCACCCAATTCCTACAATAAAGTACCTCAAGGGTTGAAAAGCCTATCTGTGTCCAGCTTTAAAAGAAAAATGAAGCTCTTTGCCTTTGATGACACGTAACATGTATTTTTATGTAATTTTATTTTTAAATTTGTTTATTTGTGCATGTTTTGCAATTTTTATATCTTTCGCCATATAATATTTTTTAAAGTTATTTCTAAGCATGGCTTTTTATTCTGCTACGCACTCTGTTGATGCACGTTTGTCTTTAGGTCATCATTCCATACATAGGCTACGAAAAAAAAATTTTTTTCTGCTTTAAATCTCTTATCCTCTTTGTATTTTTTTTATTTGCACGTACTTGTATTTTTTTAGCCTTGGTTGGTTTTGAAAACAGTTTTTGCTCATGTAACCCACCAGGTAAAATAAAGCCATTTATTATTTTTATTTTTTTCTCAGCTCTTCGTAAAACCGGGGGTATGTCTTACCCCTTAGGCTAAACGTTACGTTATGACGTTTCTAATGAGATGTACCGAATATGGCCACAGTTTGCAGTTATTATTATTATTATTATTATTATTATTATTATTATTATTATTATGTTGTAAGACATCTCATTCGATTTTGTTTTTAAAGCCTCAGTTTGTTTTTAAAAAAATTGACGTATGTGTCAATAAACCGCTTTAGTCAAGTACTAATTCTCTGATTTTCAGCATTATTAATCACAGTTATTGGTTTTCGACTTGACCATGCATTCGAAAATTTACAGGCCGATTCACATTCTTCTTATGGGATGGAATAAAATGCCAAACTACTCAATAACTAAAAATATCTTTATTCATATAAATAAATAACATAATTTAACATACATAGACAATTTTCACCGCTTACGTTTAATAGTAATACTTAATGATAAAACACAGCGCATCTGTATCATTGATAGAAAAGAAACGTAAAAAATCACTCAGATTTCTAACATTTATACTCTCAGCGAATATAAAAACAAAAAGATTGATTTGCTTACATTGGCACAGTATTATGAAAGATAAAAAACATGTTTAGATGAATAATACATCTATGACTACATCTACCATATTTTATGTACCCAAAGGAAATTTCTCGCGGTTAAATTGAGAGATTACCAGACTTTTTAAAAAAGATATCTTTTTATGTGTAATATGACGGATGATCATCTCAAAATTGACAATTCTTAGGCCAACTCACCATTTCGAATAATTTTGGTAGCGGTCAAATACCATCAGAACTACTGATCTAGTAGAACTGCTAATACTTCCAAAATAGGGCAAGTATTATAATACGTATTTGACCTTAAGTGAATTAACTCTAACTTTATTTGAATATCTCAGTTCCAACTGGAGTATATATAGGAAAATGGCATTTTTTACTGTATGATATACGTATTGTCATAAAAAATGTATCTCTTACGTTGTATATTATAAAGACACTGTTTCGTATACTTGGCTGATTCTCTTGGGTACAAGTAGTTTACTACATATACATTTTTACTACGTGATTTAATACTCAGATCTCAGACTCATTTATATGTTTATGTTTGACAAATTGAATAAATATTAATACTAGTACTACTGTAAATTCGGCAATCAACAACGAACTTCATTAACTTCCCTTTACTTTACTACATGTACATCAATGATCATCATTCCAACAAAGTCTTGATGCTGAATTATTGAATGTATTTTGTGCAAGGTTACTGGTAATTTGCCCTCCAGGGCATGGTCAGAGATATAAAATTCAATTCATTTCCCCGTATGGTCAAAAATCAATGGATTTCGAAATTTTTAAATTTTTGTGATTTCTTAACAATCAGCCGAGTCTAAATAATAAAAAAAACATATAATAGATGCGTGAGAGTTCGATCAATTTTTGTAGTTCATATTTGAATTAGGCTAATACAACCATAAAAAATTCAAAAATACTATAAACATTAAGATAACACCAATTCCAAAAAATAAAAGAACTTTCGTTTTCATCTTTCCGTAGACCAAAACTGTGCCTGGTTCTAAAAATCGATAGTACATTGAGCATACAAATTACTAAGAACGCTGGCCGTTATAAGCAGTTTTCCAAAAAAGTATTGAATATCAGTATGAACGCGTTTAATTCCTAACAAACCGTCAAACAAACCTATTTAGTTCAAATAACAGTCAATCACCTCATTGACATTTTCCAAACGAGTGTAGCAATTTTTCAAAGATTCTGCTTAATATGAGGCTCTTTCCTCGGCTTCACTGTATACTCCTGGTATTGTCACCTCTTGGTGAAAGGGGTTTCGAGATATTTCGCCTCATTTACTATTAGCTAAAAAAAACGATCGAGTATAACTATCTCTCAGAAGTCTAACAACTTTCCATGTCACATGTTCACAATATGTAGCATCTCAATAGCTCCTTAGATATAGGAAATTCCGTAATGTTCAATGATTCGAACATCGAGATAGCGTCTTTTAGGGTTTTGTAGAGTCGCTGTTGAAGCACAACGAGATTATTGACATCGCTTTCCCGATCGTTGAGTTTTACACCTTTTTAGGGGTTACTAAGGAGGTTCATGTCGAAAATACATAACACAGGAACAGCTCAGGCTTCAGGAAGTGCGTTATACTTGAACAATTCCTCTAGTTCATAGTAAATAAAGCAAAACAACTGATGTCCCCAGTAATCACAAAAGTAACAATAACAGGAACTTAAAAGTGGATGCAGATCCGTATTCGTAACTGAGAAGCTCCCCCTGGGCACGATTTTTTAAAAATCAATTACTTACGAACGATATCATTTAGATTATGGACTGTTATCCGACCTAAATTGGTTTGATTGGCTGTTTGTCAGGAATTAAAAGCTTTCACGCTGGTATTCTATGCCTTTTCTGAAAGCGCAAGTTTTTATATGTCTACGCTCCATGTACTACTAGTTTTTACAGCTATACACAATTTTGCTTTAGGGAAAGCTGAAAGCGAACAATTTTATTTTTCGTTCAGCATTCATTTCAGTGTGTGTGGTATTTATTTATTATTCATCATAAACTGCCAAAAACCAATTGAATTTCGGGTGATAGCAAACAAATCACAGAAATTGAAAGACTTAGAGATCCATTGAATTTTGTCCATTCATTTATATAGTAAAATTTGTTGCATTTTGAGTCCCCTATCACCCCCTGGATATAATATGGCCAATTACTAGTAACCCTGTAGAAAGTAAAGACAGTCATTGATAGTAATATTTGTTGCGTTCATCATGTATTTCTTCCTAACCGGCAAGTAGTTTAGCTCCCATTTTTTAATCAAATCATCAGCTACAACCTTCTGCTGACAACCAATGAAAATATATACAGGGCAGTTTTGAAGAGAATCTAACGCTTTCCCTAAAATATTTCATTCAACTCCTATTAGTAGATGTCCTAATACAAGTAGTTCTTAGGAATCTCATTGATTGGTTCCGCGCATGTCCCCATGTGCTTCAAAGCTACCAATGATCTGCTTCTACAGCTCTCCATCTCTAAGAAGCAGGAGTTGCTATACGTCATATTGTCAGTCCCACATACAGGATCGTAGTATGTTGGGCAGAACTTTGCGCAACCTTTGAACTGGAATCCTGCTATACATCTTTTCATTGGTACCACGTAGATGTGTTTTCTGAAACAAAATTCAGCTGTAGCTGACAAAAAACAAATCGCTGGCATATCCAGCAAATAGTTTTGGCGGTGCTCAGCAGGATGTCCGGGGACTCATTTTTACTCATTTTTTTCGGCTTGTCTTTTTTATTATTATTCATTTTACAATACAGTAAGGTGCCCCTAGATGCCCGGGTGTTCTAATAAATCGAATAATCGATATTTGGTGTATCGAGGGAAATAAAGTCCCGCCACCTGCTTTACAATTTTCAGAGAGAAAACAAATCATCTCTTAGGTATTTTTTAAAAATACTCATTCTTTTGCACACTTATACTTCCTTATACCCCTCAAATAACGAAGGATGAGACGAAAAATCACTATCAACAATCTGATTTATTATTAGTAAGTTACTACAGAGACATGCAATTCAAAACGTGCCTACGTGGTAACACAGTATTTTCAGATATTCAGTTCAAATAACGCCTAACATGCATGAATTGAACCAGGGGCGGATGGATTAACATATTTTGACAACCACTAAAGACTTCTTTGCACGAGGTCTGTAAATTAAGTAGTAGTAGTAGTAGACATTTTTTTACTCCATTATATAAGAACAATAACAACACAGAATGGGTAAATTATATATTATTCTGCTGTTGCTCATATAGGGTTAGTTTTGGCAGGTATTATTAACATTAAATATTTGAGGATTTTGGGGTTCATTAGTTATAATATTACATAGCTCATGGCCTATGTTAATTGGGGTTATTTTGCTTGGCAAATATTACTGATGAACGCATAATAAGTCGAAGCTTATATTTAAATGAAGAATATTTGAATGTTATCCCTAATTTATCTTTTTAATGATTTTTATTATGTTCTTCTAATATAGCAGCACCTCCTTCTTTAAATTTGTTAGTAGAAATTATATTAATAAATAGGTTAATTTCGTTTATTTCATTCAGTATATTTTTTTAGTATTCTTCCTTTTTTAGAGCAGCCTACTCTTTAGTTTTATTTTCTTATCCGCAACATGGAACATTATATTCTGGTTCATTTTCTATATATCAAATAGCTGAAAAGGATTTTATAAGGATCATTGACTGGTTTGATACTAAAATTTTAACAGTTAACTTCAAAAAAACAAAATTTATTGCATTTACATCCTATTCAAAATGTTTACCTACCTTCGAACAAATTTCCGTTAACTATTATGGCCAAATAATGTGCAGTAATGTGCAGCGAATGACTACATAATTATATAGAAAACTAAAACTACAAAATTCCAATTACATTAATACCTTTTAGATTTAACAATAATTGTTATACACATATATGATTGATTGTTAGTTATTAAGATATAAACTACACACAAGCAATGCCTTCTGTGGTTTTTTCATATTTATTTGCCCATTTTTTGTATTTTGGCGAATAAATATTATTATTATTATTATTATTATTATTATTATTATTATTATTATTATTATTATTATGTAGAGAATATTTATTATTATTTTTACATTGATTTCCTTTCAATTTATTATTATATTATATATTATTTTGAAAGAGGAATTATATTTTTTATTTATTTATTTAAATAGTTTAATTCAAGATACTGATTTGTGATATCAAAGATGTAATTTTACTTTAAATAAAAAAAATATTAAAACTTTTATATTTTTGAATTTTTGGATTTCAAATCTTATTTTTAGTATTCATTTTATAGTACTATACATATACTATTTTGATTGAATATGAATTATCTGATTTAAATTCTAGTTTGATTATTTTAATTATTTTGTAAGGTTGAATATCTTATTGATTATCTTATTTATTTCATCTATAGTTATTTTTCATAGAGAAGAATATATATCAGAAGATATAAAATATTTAAATCGATTTATTTTATTGATAGTAATATCTCTTTTACCTATTAAATTGCTTATTATTAGTCCAAATTTTATTTCAATTTTATTAGGCTGAGATTGATTTTTTAAAATTTTTATACAAATATAATTACAATTTCATATTGTCACCCTCAAAATCACTTCCTTCTAATGCCGCACAGTGCCGGAGAAGGTTCTTCCACTCCTCATAGCAGTGCTGGTACACTAATTCTGGAGTAGCCATCAGCTGGTCGGTTACAGCCGTTTGAATGCTTTCAGCTGTCCCAAAATGAATTCCCTTGAGATGATGTTTCAACTTCAGGAATGTTTTTATTGGCCAAAAACTCGTTTATTAACATTGATGCGTGACAAGGAACATTATCGTGATACACCACCCAGTTATTCTTAATCTGACGAACGGTGGTGGGAGTCAAATTTAACTCCGCCCCGATCCCCGTTATTGAAGATGAAAGCTTCCCGCTTCGTGGTTCATCCTCAATCGACTCCCTCCTTTCTTAAAATGCCTTAAGCCACCGAAAAACCTGGGCTCTTGACAAAGCACTATCTCTGTAGGCCTGTTTAGCAAGACTTTCCGTTGCACTGTGCCCAAGTTTGAAGCAAAACCTGATAGCACACCGTTGCTCGAAATTGATGTCACCCATTTTCAGAACACAGAAGGCCAAATACCGTTCTACAAAAGAAAAAAAAAACGCTACGGACTCGAGAGAGTGATGAAGGCGAATCACATGTTCCGCTGTCTCCCTTTCAAGTCCGGCGCCTCCAGTGTTGCCAGATCGAATGCTACGCTGCCAGTCTTATTACTTAATTGACAGACCTCGTACTTCTCTCGTTTTTCCGATCAGTCGTTTCGCATTTTGTTAATTCGGTGCTGATGATCCTTTACTCTGATAAAAATTAAAGATACTTACCCACAGTTCGTCCTTTTCATCTCACACTCATTCTTGTAAATTTTGTTGTCAGAACCACAGACAAAGTTTCTGTCTTCTGCACAATCTTGTTGACACAGTGCGGTTGTTCTGCAGTGATGTAATGGTACTTGAATCACTAGTTGTCCACAGGTTTCTTTTTTTAAATGGCAGTTTGATCTGTCAAAAAATAATAGATTTAATGCTCAGGGTAACTAGTCCAGGCGGTATACGAGTATCTGCATCTATCCGAAATAAATATTAATTCCGTTTTTTGCATAATCATATCCACAAAGGACTTCGTTTAACAAACCTGCATATTGCTAATCCCAAAATTGCATAAAAAATTGTACAAAAATTTTTTCAACAAATTAAAAAAATGCTTTTTTTCGATTTTTCATTCCTATACCACTGGCGAGGGAGTATTGTAATCGCGAAAAATTTCGAAAATGATATATTATGTTTTTAAATGTTATATGACATGTAAATCACGAAAAAAATCACCGAAACTTCGTTGTTTGACGATTCAGAGGATTGCTGGGGCTAATTGGATATTGTGGGCTTTAGAGGGTGGGGGGAGCATATGTCATTTTTTTAATATAGCAATTTATACGTTTCCAATCTCGGTAATTCCACGCATCTAATATTATTTGATACATCTTAGATCTCATTTGTCCTTAAAACTTTTATTAAGGAGATATATTTTCGATAGACGCGTGTGGGACAACTCAACGAGCGTACGTCCGTCTGTTTGTTAACGGATAACTGCGACGGAGAGTTACCACGTTGCAATATTGTCAAATCTGTGTAGACTATATATACTACTAATTGTATGAGCCACTTTGACACGATCCATTTAATTTCTCATTTATACATGTTATACGAGTAGAAAGGTAAATGTGGTTATATAGAATCATTTGTAACAGTTTAGCATAGTTATTGGTGACTGAGATCCATCGTTAATTTATAATTGAACCTCTGTCACCTGATTTGTAAATGGTCTCTGATTTCTATCCATTTATCCATTTATCGGGAATGTTTGATGTAGTTAACATTATGTTGAATAAAATAATAAAAGAATTCATTATACCAGGATCAGTATCTCTGACTAAAAAAGAAAGAATCTTATCTGACCCTGATGTCATCTTTGGTCTTAGCTTTTTATATATTTCTATAACAGCGTCGCGAAGGAAGTGCAATGACAATTTACTTAATGCCATTTTTCGATTTTGTAGGGTTTTTGAGTCATTCGAAAGAAAAGGTTTTGTGTCTAATTGTTAATCTAGTGCGCGCCTAATGTTTATTCCGCGTAAGTGCGAGAGATATGGAGGAAAGGGGAGGCCACCAGATGCATATTTATTAAAAGTGGTGCTTTTTGTATGTGCATATGGAAAAAATAGAATCATAATATGTTTCCAATCAGATGCTTCCTGGAGTAAAATCTTTATCAACTACTAGGTCAAGTTATTGCTATACAGGGTGGCCCATCCACGTGTGGACCGAATATTACTCATAAATAAATACATTTTGGGTAAATCCATTTATGGCATGTTATACTCGTACATGACATTTGAGGGCACATTTTTAAAATATTGTCCCAATTTTGACCTACATATCAATGTTGTCATTTTTTAAATGCAATGTCTGAAATTTTATTTCATATTTCGATAAACCAATTCAAAAGAAGAAGACTGACATAACACTATGGGGTTTTGGTAATTGGCTACTGTGTTTTGTCCAGAAAAACCATCCACGTCGGCAACACCTCAATCCGCCATTTTGAAATTTGGAGTGCTGAATTTTATATCAAAAAAAAAACTTACACACCTCAGCTTTCATCTTAGTTGTTACCTTTTCGAATTTTCATTTTTGCTCATACAGGGTGATCAAACACGCGAATTGTACTTCTTTTCAAAAAATTCAAATGCATTACCCTGTATATTTGTGCAAGTTTAGATTCAATTGTTTTTCAGCTTTTTTTGGTATAAGGTTTGATTCAGATAAAATCAGTAGATTTAGAGTTATTAAGCTTTTAATAGAACAACACACCAAAATTGAGGAAAAAAATCACATCATCCATGAGAACAAAAGACAAACAGTGGGCTAGTTGCATATTGCCACTAAGAGGTACAGATTTGACGTAAAAAATAATAACAATCAGAAGAGTATTAATCAGCTTCAAGCGTAATAGAGAAAAATAACTGTAACAACAACATAAACAAATAACTATCACTGCTCAAGACCTAATCTACAAAAACTGCTCGAAAATATCTCCACCATGTTGAATACACAGCCGTAGTCTTTGGATAAATGACCGCTGCACATCTCTCAGCATGTGTTCCCTTATGTTTAGGAAAGCATGCTTAATCCTTCCCTTCATATTTTCCGAGGTAGACGGTGAATATCTATAAAACTCTTGCTGAACGTAGCCCCATAGAAAGAAGTCCATAGGTGTCATATCTGGTGATCTAAGAGGCCAAAGATTGTTACTCTTGGTGTCCAGATAGTTACTCACACGATTATGATAATGCGCAGGTGCGCCGTCATGTTGGAAGTACATGTGCATCCGAGTTTGCAGGTTGACATCCTCCAAAAGCCAAGGCAAATGCTCGATCAAAAAATTCATGTATTCTGTACCTGTTAATCTGTTGTCGAAAAAGAAATGCCCGATAACTTGTCTGCCAATAAGTTCTTCCCAAACATTCAAGCTCCCTTTATTTTGGAAAACTATTTGCCTAACCCAGTAAGGGCTTCCGTCGCATAATAGTGCATGTTATGCCTGTTGACAACACCTATGCTGTTAAAAGTTGCCTCATCGCTGAAAAGAACTTTATCCAGGAAAGTAGTGTATTCACTCACTTTATCTAGCATTATTCTACTAAACTCCATTCGAGCTGAGAAATCCTGAGGACGAAGGCCTTGATGCAAGCATAGGTTATATGGATGGTACCTATGCGTGTGACTAATCCTTTGGACAGAAGTTCTGCATATATCAGTTTCTGCTCCAATTTGCCGTGCACTTAAATGGGGATTTGCCTGCAGCTTAAATAGAACCTCGCCTCATTGGTGACACTTGAATTGTTTATACATTTTTTACTATATTCCACTGCTCCACTTGATTCAAAACATTCTCGTAGTGTGGAAAATGTTTCCGGCCTAGGATGTCGCATATTAGGGTACCGTTGCTTATAAATGCAAGATGCTAGGAAACTATTTCTTTGGGATTCGCCCAAAACGAGCACCATATTCACCATTTCTTCTTCAGAAAAATTCATTTTCAAACAAGTTTTTATTATAATACTCACAAAGCTAATTTTCACAGTTTGTACCTAATCAACTTATTTGTTTCCAAGGATGATGCGATATTTTATACCCTTGTGTCTAGAATAAAAAAAAAGCTTATGAAAAATTGAATCCAAACTTGTACAAATGTACAGGGTGATGCATTTGAAATTTTTGAGAAAAACTACAATTTGCGTTTTTCGTAAAAGTAATAATTAAGACAATAGGTGAGGTGTGTAAGTTTTTTTGATACAAAATTCAGCACTCCAAATTTCAAAATGGCGGACTGAGGGGTTGTCGAAGTGGAGTTTTTTTCTAGACAAAACACCTTATACATATCTCAGTAGCTAATTACGTTACGTTATATCAGTTTTCTTCTTTGAATTGGTTTATCCAAATATGCAATAAAATTTGACGCATTCTATTTGAAAAATCACAACTTTGTTATGTGCCCTCAAATGCCATGTATAACATCCCATAAATAGATTCTACCAAAATGTATTTGTTTATGAGTAATATTCCGTCCACACATGGATGGTCTACCCTGTATTTATAGCATGATTAGATTGTCGATATGGTCGAAATATAACTCACGAAGCTTTTTTGCTTCATGATGCAAAAATACAGGTAATATTTCTTTATGACAATAGTAACCAGAACAATAGTATCTCAAGATTACTCAAAATACTTACTTGTATACATTGCCATCTGAACCACACACTGGTTGATCTCCAGTTTCATTATCACAGTCGGTTGGACATGGTTCTTGTTCTTTTAGCTTAGTACAGTTTCCTACATGTGCGAATTGTACCTGAAAGTAAGTATTCCAGTATCACTACATGATCATAATGTATCACAAATCAATATTAATGAAGCACGCTGCTACCCATCATGCTGAAGTGCAGCAATTTTGTGGGAGATCAGAGTTTGTACATATAAACATGAAGAGTCAAGTTTTTTGCATGATAAGAAAACGTACGTAGGCCTCTCTTTTGAAAAATTGTTCTAAAGTATTGCTCTGTAACAATCAAATGATTATAGTCACGTAAATGGGAACCTTATTTACAGAAGTGAAGTAGGATTCATCAAGAATCGACTACTCAGGAATTAGAAAACAAACAGATTAGAGGGCTAAGCAAAATCATAGGTTAGGAACTTACATATTTTTTTGTGACTATGCTTAAACAATAATGCAATGAGCTCATACCCCTTTCAAACATGTGGCTAAATTCAACTGGCACTGATTAGTGTACGTTCTGGCATCTGTTCCACAAACTGGATCTGGATCGTTGCTGCATTTGATTTTCAAACATTTAGCTAGTCGGTTTCTGCATTTATCGTAGTCTACCTTCGACACTCTTCTGTTAGATCTAAAATGAATAAAACATGTATTAGCGAGGACTCAGAGCCTATACTTCTGTGTAGCGATCAAATATTATTCCTTGTGACACGGCAGCTCAGAGCTTACTCGCAGATGTCTGTAAAATATACATATAGAAAAACTGAAGGCTATGTCGCCCCTTTAATTTTATTTGTTGCCAGAGCAGTTCATGTTTTTGAGTAATACAATCAGTAAAGGAGAGATGAGAAAAAAGGAAAATGAAGTAGTGTAGTCATAGAAAAGGTGTTCAACTATGTTCTAGTTGACAATATAAATAAATAAAGGCAGATGTGGAAATAAATGCTTCCTTACCCACAGTTCAACAGTTTCAGTTCGCACTCGCTTCTGTAGATATATCCGTCAGATCCACAAGTGGGCTTCTCAGGTTCACTTTTACATCCTGTTGGACAAGTACTTCCGTGCGATGTTCTTTCTTGACTAGCGCAGTAGGCCATTGGAACTTCGAACACATGCTTTCTACAATAGAGACAATAGAGAAATATATTCTCAGGGTGGCCGCAGATATTCGCCATTACGATTCAGAGCAGTCCAGGAGTATTAGACTTTCTCTACTAAAACCGCTTTTTTTTAGAAAAAGTCTAATATTCCTAGCCTGTTTCAAATCACGAACGCGTACGTTCGCCCTAAGTTGATCAAATGGATGATAAAAAAAGCAAAAGCTTGTATGTAATCAGAATTTGTGATACCATTAGGTCTCTGACTCTCAAAAACATTATTTGAAGGTACACTTACCCACAGTTTTTGGACTTCATTCTACAAACGTTGGCGTATACTTTTCCGTCTGAACCACATGCTGGCTTTGCGTTCCTCCAGCAAGATTCTCGGCAATGCCTGGTGGTTTGACAGTATTTCTTGTTGGTTCTTACTACACCCTGCCTGGAAAAGAAGGTGGAAAAGAAGTTCCAGAATGTTACGCTTTGAGTTGGTGAAGAACAGGCTACAAAATCTGGGAAAAGGTATAATGGTGACACGAGATCGGAAGATTGCAATGTTATTTTAAAAATCCCTAACACAACTCGACTCCAATTGAGCAATCCACACTGCACGACGTAACAGCTTCCGCGTAAGAGAGTGCATGGGCATCTAGATCCTAGTTTTCTTTGTAGTGTCGCGAACTGTGCACACGTACTCACCCTGAATGCCAAAGGTTAGCACATAGCAGGAAGCTAAACGAGGGTAATTATATTTGTTTTCGGGGATATACCTTTATATTGTACCTGAGGCGATCTTAACTAGGATCTTGTTTTCTAGCCAAGGGGCTATGAAATGAGTTCGTGATCTATTTGAGCTATACCCCATTTGAGGTCGGGCGACGTGATATGCGATCCTGTCAAGGCCTAGATATACAACACAGCGTACCGTAGTTACAGAAGGGCGATAGTCGCTTTAAAGTCACCTCAGGCTTTCCAGAACGGACTCCCAAGTTAAGTTACCTGAGTTATTGTCAATAATTGGTACATTTTTATTGAGTGGTGGAATTTTCACTCAGTACTCAGTACTTATTTGCCCTTTAACATTTGTATTATATAATTAATTATATTATAATTGTTCTTGTTTTGAATTTACTTCGATTTTTTTATTGAAAGGTGAGAATTATTTCATTTATTGATAACTAACGCTTGGATAAACGAATGGAGGATTGCCTTAAGCCGTGTTGGAGAAATGCGTGGTCTAAGTTCAAATACATAAAACTAAAATCAAAGATTGCTAGGATATTTTTTTGACTATGACATTATGACCTAGGACTTCTCGACACGATTTTGAGTGAAATTTCAAAAAAGACCTGAGCACCGACGACAAGACATAATGTATGTATATCGTTCTCATCTCTGATTGTATAACATGGCTTGCAGATCAGATCTCCGCTGTGCTGGTCGAAACAAACCTTTAAGAGGACTGAGGCATTGTTGTTGGAGGTAGATATTGAAGACAGCGGACGATGTTCGTCTGCGAATTTAAAAACACGTTAGAAATTCCTTTAAACTCAGATATTTGAGGATCCGGACCCCCACGACACTCTCCTAAATCCACCCCCATTGGTTACAGTTGATGGAGCTGGATAAACATTGACTGGTTCTCTTACCCACACGTTAGCAGCTTCATATGGCAGGTACTTTTGTATACATTTCCATCACTGCCGCAAACCGGTCCATCCCTTGGAGCTTGTTCACAATCTACAGGACAATTTTCTCTATGAGCGCTTATATTGTTGCATGGACCTACGTGGGAAAGGTCTATTCCTAACCTGAAAAATAGATTCAAGGAGGTTAAGCCAGAACTGGCGCGTATAATTTGACCGGCCGAAGAGTGGATATTTGTAATTTTTGCTTATTGAGGAAGCTTAAAGGGCTTTACCTGCAGACTTCTACTTGCAGCATACACCTGTTGAGGTATGTTCTTCCGTCAGTGCCACATACAGGGTCTTTTTCGCTACCACATCTGTGTTCACATTTGGAGCCTGATGACCTCAGGCACAGAGTGTGATCTTCGGTCAATGTTACTCCTGCAAGTAAAGATATGCAAGCCATATGTTTCCCTGATTTTTGCTAAGCTGGGATAGAAAATAGCAAATATATTTAAATTACATACTAGCGTTTTGAAAACCTACCGATCTTGAAAACATTGAACTTGTTTTGTACGTTACGAATGGGCTAGTCTCCGCATTAACACAAACATTTCTTAAATCTCATAGAACAATGAGAAAAATCATAATTTTGTGAATCTTAAATAGCCAATAAAATCTTTTCATAGAAACTAAGAAACCAGCAAGAGTAGGCAATCGGTATTAAAAAAAAGTGATGCACCCAACTCAGTTTCTGCTCTTACCTTTGCCACATGTTTTCTTCCTCATTTCACATATGTTAGGATATATGACACCGTCACTGCCACATACTGGATCACCGTAAGCATTTTCTTTACAAATTCTGGGACAGGAAGCATCTCTCAGAGCACTAGAATCTGAAACAAAAAATAATTTTTAGTTTTTTTATCTTTTTTATTGAAAGAGTGAGTACAGCTTTCGCTGTGTCGAGATTTACGCGAATAGTTGGCAATCACGAATTCTGATTTAAACAGGATGGGCTAGATTTTGGTCTTTGATGGTTGAAGACCTGCCACAAACCAACGTCTAGATCAGTGGTCGCCAACCTTTTTATTGTGTTGAGCTACTTTGATAATTTTGGATTAAACAGTGAGCTGCCTAGTCGTAAGCAACGTAAGCCAACTTAAATGAAATTATACCCAGTTGTATGCGACATACATGTGTTTATTTAACTAATACTAATACTCGTACATACTAATAAACTTAAATAAACTAATAAGTAATACATACTACATAACTAAAAATAAAAAAGCAACGCACTATTTTAAACAAAAACATGTCCAGATAAAAAATGCGTGTTTAATGAGAAACCTGACACCCAAACTAATTGACAATTTTTTAATGTTTGGACTATAACTTTTGATACCGCCATTCGAAAACAATTATCCAAATGTTCATCTGTCAGTCGATTACGGTACTTCTTTTTAATAAGCTTCATATTTGAAAAAGAAATTCTCACAAATAGGTTGAACGAAATAACGTCTGTCTGCATCTTCTTACTACTACTCACAATGTTTTTAATTGCAGGCCAACTTTAACCCAACCGCTGGACTTGTGCCGTTCAGTTTTAAACTATAACCACGCCTTGCGTGTTTATTCCATTCAAAGTAATCGAGATCGTTCTCGAACAGATCGCTTACCGCAGTGTTGCCGCTGCTTGTGTTTATTATAAGAATTTGCAAAATTTACGGAAGCTTCTATGATTCTTAGACCTTTTTAAAATATGTTGTGAGCCACCAGAATTTCCTTTGCGAGCTACCGGTAGCTCGTGATCGACGGGTTGGCGACCGCTGGTCTAGATGCACTTGTCATTTTATTTCAGTGCCAAAGTTGTTGCATATTATTACGCGGGACGTTTTATCCCAGATTGCTAGGTCTCAAAACCTTCTGATCGCCATTTTTCAGTAACGTACATAGATAAGTGTCAAACTTTGGGGCAATTTAAAAAAGCAGATTTATTCAGTAGTTAACTATCACCTGTTGATATAAAAATCTACGTTAGAGCGATTCAGAAAAATATTTATAGAGCAGAAAGTAGATCCAAAAATAATAAAATGGGTCCTAAAATGTCCCATTATCAAGTGACAGGGTGTTGTAGACTTCTACGCCTCAGATGAGACTGAGTAAGGATGTAACATCAATATTAACCAAATAATGCTACGATAAGTCACAATTATATAGAGTTTTCAATATCAAACTTCACTAACATCAACATATTTTCTGAGTAGAATCGGTTGAAGCTTTTTATACGGATTTCACCTCAAACAGTCAACCTAATTTTTCTCTAAAAGGAGGAGCATCAACAAAAGCTTCTCAAGAGAGGCGATTCGTGTAAAATCGAATGCCTTGTTAAAAGTGTCCCAAAAAAGTTAGTGGTGTAGAAAATACTTTTCTTTTCAAAACTAAACAAAATTTTGAGTAGATATCTCGACACACTGAAAATATTTTTTTTTGATTTTGAGTTGGAACTTTAACACCCTGTATCTTGGTAACGAGGAATTTTAGGGCCCGTAATTATAATATATGTAATATACTTTTTTCCCCAGAAACATTGCCACGATTTTATGAAACACCCTGTATACAATTTCAGAGACAAATGATGATGATTGGAAGTTGAAGAATGCCAAAAAAAAAAAATTCTTATTCTTGAAAAAATATTTTTTGGACTGCGCCCAAATCAAATACTCTAAAAATATCGTAAAAACAATGTTCGGAGACTTCTAAGAACTTCCGTTCTTCTCTAATAACTTCTCCACCACCCCTTGACTGGTTGCCGAAACCCAGGAAGTCTTTACGACCTTGGTATGGTAGTAATCCTTTGTAAGAATTCCATCAACATCACAGTGGTACTTTCCGAGTTGCAGAGCTACCAAATAAATAATAGACAACAGGGCAGTCTCGGGACCCTTTAGCACCATTGGCGACGACGCGACGGTCGGCGAGCTGGCTCTCTTCTACCGCTATGTTAGCGGGCATTGCTCCTCAACGCCCGAGATTGAGGTACAATCTGCCTGATAGGGCTTCTCCCACTTCCGCTAACTTAAGGCAGTTCCAAAATAGGATTAACAAGGCGTATTTAAGCTTCTTATAGCAGCGATGTAAAAACAAAGGAAAAGGAAATGGGTTTGGTTTTTCGCGATGAACATATCATGCAACACATCACGAATTTCTGTTATTTCACAATTGGCGTGGGAAGTAAAATCACATTTTCTGTTCACGGTATTCAAATACCCAGAGCCGAATTTGAAGCTTATTTATTTGACAATTACTATCCCGCAAAAGAATCGTTTTTGTCTAATAAAGGCGTATCATCCTTATTAACGAAGCTTATTATGCTATTAACGCCTAAAATGTATAATGCAATTTGTTTCGGCGATCAGACAAGTTTTTTCTCAGGTTCTCTACTTTCATTGACCTTCAATGAATCCGTGGTCAATGTCAGGAATGAGAGCGAATACCACTGATTAAAAAAACCATAATAAATATTTTTCGGATTAACCTATTAACCCAGTAAAAGTGATCTGAATTTCTTCCTGAGTCGACTCGTTCGTTTTGTCATTGTGGAGTCGACAATGTCCGTTACATCTAAATTCTTTTCATCTCCAAATTTCGTGTCGTGTCTCGTACTTTTAATGTTAATGTCATACAATTAGAATTCTGTTGTACGAGGTTCAATCAAGAAGTCTGATCAACCTTTGTGGTATTCCACCAAACGACTACAATTTCAGGCAGGTAACTCTTCGGGTTCAGCATTCGAACATGCTGTTGTTTCCAACCATGGACAGCTGTTTCGTGCTTTTTGGCAACTCATCAGCATGGTCTAGGATTGGGGTCTGGGACAATGAATGTAAGCATAGCATGAGGCATGAGATCCGTCGAAATAAGACAGTACAAGGTGGCATCTATTGTCAGAATCGGACACTGCGAGAGTGTATAGTAGCTCTCGGTTGGAACTGAACTGAACATGCTGATGAGTTGCCAGAAAGGACGAAACAGCTGTCCATGGTTGGCTGCCTGTGGCCGGACGGACGAAAGCAGCCTGTTTAGTTTGTTAAATGGCGAGCAGACCATATCTGCTATACCGCCAGAAGCGTGAGCTTCTAGCGGTCACAGTGGTGACTGCGGTGTCAAACGCGTACTGACAACCTTACAGAGCTGCTGTACAGTCTCGCAATTGTCGATTCTGATATCAAAGTGCGCTTTGCACTGTCTTATTTTGATTAAGCATTCGGAATTCCGTTGGTTCTACAGTACTTCTTTGTTAACAATATTATGCAAGGAACAACAGATACAGGGTGTCAAGTTAGTAGTGGATCAACGGAAATCACGTGATAGAGAACCTCAAAACCTATCGAATGAAGCCCTATATGTGTGGTGCGAAATTTTATAGTTCCTGAGATACATATTTGCAATTTTGTGAAATTTCTTAAAAATCGGGATAATGACTTTCAATCGCAATTACAACTAAACCATTAGGTTTTTGAGATGAGCTAAATGGTTAGTTTTAGCAATGGTTATGTCACTTTTTAACAGAGCTAATTAGAAATCAACGCAAAAATTCTGAAATTCATTTTTTGTGAAAAATCTCTTCAATCGCTCAACTTTGGAGGGCGGTAAAAAATTGGTTGTATTTCATTATTCATTTTATTGTATAAACTATTTCATTCCATGTAGAATAAACCCAAATCAGCTAAGTGAGCTTGGGCATTCAACTCTCCGCGAGATTATGCAGAAATGCATTACTATTATGGTGCTGCCTTAGGAAACGCTCGAGCACCTGCTCGCATGTATCGGGAGTATGTGGTCAGAAGAGGTGGACCACAACCGGTAGTATATCCCGACTACTGCGTTTTTATACGCGTCCATAATGCGTATATGGAGGGCTGCATACTAGGCACTCATGGTCAGCTACTAGTGTCGATGATACGCCCAGAAGAAATAGAAGATATAATAGAAGCAGTCTTGAGAGATCCCTCTATAAGCACCAGATTCATTGCCCGAAGCAGAAACATATCCCATACTTTAGTGCACACAATACTACGCTCGGAGAACATGCATCCTTACCATGTACAAAAAGTACAAGAATTGCTTCCAAGCGACTATGTAGAACGGGTTGAATTTTGTGAGAATATGTTGACAAGGTGCGAAGAGGAAACTTTTTTCGACAGCATCTTTAGGACAGATGAATCCAACTTTAACCCAAATGGAATATTTAACATGCACAATTTCCATTCATAGAGCGTGGAAAATCCACCCGCTATTCGCCGACACATTTTTCAACGTCAGTTCGGCGTTAATTTATGGGCTAGGGTACTCAACAAAAAATTAATTGGACCACATGAATTGCCCGCCAGGTTGAGTGGTCAGTCATATCTTGCTTTTCCACAAAGCAGTTTGCATGAGCTGCGAGACGATGTACCTCTGGACGTTCGAACCTGCATGTATTTTCAATGCGATGTTGCCCCATGCCACTTTGCACGGGATGTACGGAATTACTTAGGCCCGTATCGTCAGTCGTCCCTACAATTGTAGGGCGCCTTTATGGCCTCCTTGATTGTCATAGTTTTCTACTGTCAGTGCTCTATTTTGAGGTTATGTCACAAACATCTATTTGCATCAAATTGTGCTTGCTTTTGAGTTATATCATGTTTTGTCAGCCTGAAATTTCCTACAATTTAAAAAGAAAACATATCTTCACAATAGGAGAGCGCTGACGCTGACACGGGACAAGTGTAATCTAGAAATTTTTCAAGGAGAGAAAGGAGTATGACAATCAAGGAGGCCATAAACGCGCCCTACAATAGTAGGGACGACTGACGATACGGGCCTAAGACAGTGCATTTCCTGGGCGTTGGAAAGGTAGAGGTGGATGCATACGATGGCCTCTAAGGTCACCCGATTTAAATTCTCTAGATTTTTTTACATGGGAGTATTAGAAGGAAATAATCTATACTGCTGAAAACACAAATGCCAACTAACTGCGCCAAAAACTTGATGATTTCAAAGACTAAAGGACAATTTTATTAGAAGGTGTCGCCTGTGTATAGAAAATAACGGAAGCCATTTCGAACATGTTCTTTAAAAGCTGGTTAAATTAAATTATCTTCCACATT